GACACTTATTTCATTAGGTTTATCATATTTATGCCTGTTTCTTAACGCCAAGCCAGTCGCTTCTTATTTTTATTACGGTTATTTCCAATTTTAATTTTACGTCGTCCTGTTTCGTAATGTGTATTCTGATCGTAAGCGACACAACCTCCCTCTTCAAAGGCCGAAGCGAAACTGATCGGGCGCCGGGCGGCAGGAATCACGCTTCGAGAGGCCGATAGTTTAGGTAATTTCTTTTTACAGTGAAAATAATGGTATTTAAAAAAAAAGTAAATAACATAAGCACTACTTTATAGTTAGTTCAGTTAGTATGCAAAGTTTCATGATCTTATTTAAAGTATTTTATGAATAACAGCGGTTTATTGTTTATTTTGGAGGTAACTTTGGATTTTTTTTCTATCAAGAAAATTTTACGGAATCGTGTTTTCGTCTAACATAATCTTTAACATTAATCCTCAACTTTACCATATATTTATTTCAAAATTAATGCTTCAATATTTTCGGCATAACGGAGGATCATTTGAGGTTATATTTCCCCTTAAGCCGCTTGACCAAATAAGACGTTTCGTATATTTTAACAATTCTTGCGACATCCACGAGAGTAAATGCTTTATGTTATATTTACGTTACCATTAAATTAAACAGGTTATACATAACATAGCCACCACCAGTAAAAATAATTTCGTATTGTTCAACAACTGCGCATTGCTGAGACAGAAAAACAAAACATTTGCATATACTAGCTACCAACAAAATTAAAATGCAGATGACTCATGTTAATTACGTTGTACTTAATATATGATTATGCAAATTAATGGAAATAGGGACGGAAAAAACTTAAAAAGCCATATGCACGACTACATCGAAATAAATTATTATAACATTATTCCTTTGCAACGCTTTGTGGTTTACCTCTGATGTAATAATTAAGACTTCCAACATTCATGTTGAATGTCTATGTCAATGTCGCAAAAGAACACCGAACAAATAATTATTCATGATAATAAATAAAAAAAACAAAAAATTCATTCATCTGCTTGGGATCCCATAATTTATACATACTACCGTAGAATACTATAATATAGTATTCTATGCATACTACTGCAAGACTTTAAGACATTGTAAACTCATTCTAAGTAGACCGGGACAAAAACTGATATTTAAGATTGGCTAAGGCTACCTTCAGCCTTCGTTAACTATATGTGACATACTCGTACATGATTGAAAGCTGTTTTTTTTTCCCGTTGGGTTTCTTGCTGGTTCTTCCCAGGACAGAGGCTTTTTTCCGAACTAGTGGTAAATTAAAAAAAGTGACTTTCAATCAAAGTATTATTTATAATCATAACCTGGACGCCAAACACCTCAGTCCCACGCATGAAAATGAAGTGATAAAACCTATAAAATTGATTTATTCAATATTAATCTCCTATATAATTTATTTATTGCAACATAAGCTTGATGTTGGCAACACAACTATAAATTGCTGTTCGATCCCGCACGGAACAAGTACATGCGTAGCCTACAAATAATTGTTCCGGGTCTGGATGTTTGTCTTGGTGAAATTTATATTAGTGAACTTTCTCCACGATAAGGAAAGGAAAGTAACGTTTTTAAAATGAAAAAGATAAAAGAAAGAAGGGAACCGTCAAATGCGGCATCAAATCGTAGTTATAACGCCAGTAAACGTAATAATTAATAATAATTAATTTCTATATAAAGCCGTCAAATTTTATCTTAGATTGAAAAATTATAAACATTTAAATATACATTAATAAGCATAATGTTAAAATAAATACGTTTGAGACATTAAGTACTTATAGTAAATAGTAAATTAAAAGCTTAATATTGCCTTTCAAAATTAATAAATTTGAAATGTGTTAATAGAAATAATAGATATTAGAAATACAAGTCGGAAATATTATAATAATAGAGATAAATAACATTTATAAAATAATTGGAAAATTGATCAAAAATTGCCTAAGTCATTGAGCGTGTTCGCGTAGAGAAAATTGCTTAAGTCACTGAGCGTGTTCGTGTAGAGAAAATTTCCTAAGTCATTGAACGTGTTCTTGTGGAGAAAACCGCATGCTGCGACCGAGGCAGTATTGAATTGGCGACACAAGCGAAGACTTCGGAGCGAAATAAAGTGAACTAAAGTGCTAATTGTGATTAATTATTAGTGTGTTTTAAATTTTAATTGGTGTTCGGTAATTGAAGTGTCAATTTTGGTAATTCAATCGGCAGTTTTTACTGTCACGAACCGTAAGCTCGTAACAATATATATGGGGTGGTCGGGTGACCGACTACTTAAGTATTATTGCACAATGTATAATACTATATTAGGAACTTATGACAGTAAGGTCTATGATCCAAAAGCACTACTATAGAAGATAGCTATGAGGCATAAGCATTAGAATAGTAGAGTTGTGGGTTAAAGTCCCATATATTAAAGACATATATAAGGTATATACAGAATGGGTCCCACATATATGCAATAAATGAAACCATATACTTGTTATCGCCTTTGCTGACGATATACAAAAAATGAACGTAATCGGTCCAGTAATTAGGTCAAAAAGTAGAGTTTTAATTTTAAGCAAATTTGAACACTATAGAATTGGGTCACTAAGTCAATGATTCAATGAACTTGAATCCTTGAACATTAAAAAGCGACGTTGCCACGCAGTGCAAACTATTGGTATTGCGACATATCGATAGCGGTGTCTTTTGTCGGCGTGCCACCCGCGTGCAACGTTGTCACTCTTCCAAGGGGTCAAGGTACGAGTACGTTGTCTAAACAGTGTTCACTTTTACTGAATTTATTTTAATATTTACTTTGTTTGAAAATTTCACTTTTTTATTTTACGGGTTTTAATTTAATATTTAATTTTTCTACACTTCTACGGACTAGTATTACTTGTGGTTTCATTTATTGCATATATGTGGGACCCATTCTGTATAAGGTCAATGATACTAAAGCGTTATTTTAGAAGGTTTCTATGATGAGCATTACAATAGTAGAGTCGCGGGTTGAAATTCCATATATTAAAGACATAATATGATAGTAAGATCTGTGATACTAAAGCAATATTATAGGTCTCTATGATGCATAATCATTACAATAGTAGAGATGTGGGTTGAAGTCCCATATATTATAGACATATAATTGTAACGGTCTTTGAAATAAAGCAAATATGTGGAAGGTCTCAAACATGTAAAAGCATTAACAGAAATGGGACTTGAAACGAAACGAAACGAAAACGTGTAGATGCATCACAAGCGTCCGAGATCAAGGTAAACTTGGACTCGCTAACCTATTGTTGGTTATTGGGTTGGGATTTAATTTTATTTATTATAGGATCCCAAGCAGATGGTAGCACCCAGCCATCTTCTCTATTGAAATTAGGATGTTTTTTGATTTCAATAGCCTCGTGAATCATCCTTGGAAGGAATCGGTGTTCTTTAGCGAGGATTTGCGGTCTATCAAATCTGATGTAGTGACAATAAAAACCCGCGTTAAAGAACATATAGCTGATGTGAAGAATCGACGCTCCGGGAAGTCTGCAGTCTGTGAACACGTACAGGATCGCCCCCGTCACTACATCAGATTTGATAGACCGCAAATCCTCGCTAAAGAACACCGATCCTTCCAAGGATGATTCGCGAGGCTACTGAAATCAAAAAACATCCTAATTTCAATAGAGAAGATGGCTGGGTGCTACCATCTGCTTGGGATCCTATAATAAATAAAATTAAATCCCAACCCAAGCATACAACTGCAAGACTTCAAGATACCATAAGTTCATACTGCATAGATCGAAACAAAAGTTAAATTTTAATCTATGGTAACCGCGGTTAACTATGACATATGGACGTTGAACATCTCAGTCCCGCCCGTGACCATGAGTGCTGTAAAGCGTTCGAAACGTCGGGTATTTAAAAAGTTAAATATACGCGATAAATTCTGTAAAAACTAGTATTATTTCAATAATATTACATAATATTATATCACAATTACATTTTAATGATATTTTTATCTGAATATTTTAAAAGGTATCTCAAAAGTTAAATTTTAATCTATGGTAACCGCGGTTAACTATGACATATGGACGTTGAACATCTCAGTCCCGCCCGTGACCATGAGTGCTGTAAAGCGTTCGAAACGTCGGGTATTTAAAAAGTTAAATATACGCGATAAATTCTGTAAAAACTAGTATTATTTCAATAATATTACATAATATTATATCACAATTACATTTTAATGATATTTTTATCTGAATATTTTAAAAGGTATCTTGTCAAATATATAAAAAAACATACTAAATGTGTGTTTAACAAAACTTATTAACATAACATTTAAATTACAAATATATTTATTTAAATTAAAATAAGAGTCGTTCATAAATGCTGGGCACGCGAGATTTAAAAATTGACGAATTTATTCCACTTTGACTTTGATATGAAAACCTAAAAATAAAATAAAAGAATAATAAGCAGATAACATGAAAAATTTAGCCTAATTATAATAACTTATATATGTTTCTACAAAAATGTGTATAATAAATATATTCGTCTCATACTTAAGTACACACAGAAATGTCGCATCTGAACATACTAATTTCATTATCTACATTTCATGACACGAGATGGCATCTTAGGAATAATTTGTTTTATTATTAATCTATAATACTTTTTTATTGATTAAGTATCTTATTAACCGATGAAAAGTAATTCTTTGGTTTTTACTGAAATTTCTTGAATTATTTGTGCAATATCTAATTATAGATCATTTCAAATAGCATGGCAGGGTTGTACTTGAAGCGGTCATTAGGCGATAACAAAAGAAGTGGTATTTACAACCGATACCTGGGAAGACCTTATCCTGACGAGGTATTTTTGTGGCAGCAAACAAGTTTTGATGCTTTTGTTAAATACACGATGACATTGTTGTCAAAAATTCAGTGGTCTTGTAACTTCGTTATTACACAGACGTACAAATAAACATGTTTCGACCATGGGAAATATCAAATAGTGCATCTACAAGTGATGAAAATAGTGTTCAGCGTAGAAAAAGACATTTAAGTTCAGACGCTCAAGACATAGTTTTGAGTGTTTACAATAAGCTTTTGAAACGCATGGGTGATAAGGGAATGATTAAAGAGACATCGGAATTAACAAACGTGCCTATAAGAACTGTTAGTAGAATAGTGTCAACAGGATCTAATCATCTTCCTCGTAAACGAGAACAACCATTTATAATAAATACGTGTGAAGACACAGATACCGATGAATGTTCTTCAGAGTGATTGATTAAACAAAATATTAACAAGTTGTTATAAGTATTTAAAATAGTTAAGTTAAAAGTAATAAAGGTTTTTTATCTACAATTTAATTTGTTTTAATGTTCAAGTACCAAAATTCGTCATTCCAGCTATACTGGTTCAGTATTATCAACAGATGCTTAACTTCAAGTGTTAAAGCAATAAAATAATCACACAACAATAGATTAACATTACAGCTGTAATTGCTGTCTCAAGTGGAATCCTGCCATCCTATTTGAAATGAACTATACATACAAAGGCATATTTTTAAAAGAGATTTTTTTTTAAATCAACACAACACGTGACAACACTACAAGCGCCTAGCAAGTGACTGATTAAAGTGCGGTGCATGCACTGCAGTTGAGTGGAAAAGAGTAGCTTAATGCAGTGTCACCTCTAGTAAGTAGTACATAATAGCTCAATGTCAAAAATGGTCGACGGATACATGACGATCATCAAGGATCTCCTAGGTGTGCGTTGTTTGCAGTTATCAGTGGCTGTAAATGACCGCCGGTACGACATACTCCGCCGAACGTTGAGTCCCGTGATTCCGTGAGGCGTCGAGGTCACCGGCCCCTAGGTGATTCTTGGGCACTTTATGCGCTCCGAGCATCCTGTGCCTAGTCGCGTCATAAAGTGCCACCGTTGCACTTCCCCCAACCCTTTTGTTGACAAAAGGGGTAGGCAGTGCCCAGTGTGAATACGCCAATTACGTTTTTATACCTTGCTATCCGCGTCGCGCTTCGTGCCGAACGGCTGGCATTTATTAGACAGGGCCTTATAGATTACCTGACTGACTTAGGTAGGTTTTCCATATGTCCGATAAGGACAAGGGGGAGCCTCCACCTAAACCCAAACCCAGAAGACCACCCGATCGTCCTGGTGTACTTGACCGTTCTATCGCGTATCGCGACATCTTCGATCCTGAAAGGACTAGAGTAGTGTCCTCCTACTCTCAGATCCCGACACGGAAACCCTCCTCACCGGGTAAGGAGCCCGCACCGAGGACCGCGCTCTCGCCCATCGTACCTGGAGGTACGACTGGGCGGGAACCGTTCCCCCAACCCCAGCGGGCCAAGAAGACCCAGAGAAGGCACACGCCTCCAGAAACAGCAGCATCCCTCCAGGAGAAGAGGCGATGCTACAGTACTACCAACTCCTCGGATTACTCGTCATCCGCGGGAGAATCGGACCACCAACCTGAAAAGCCGATTAGGAGATCACCACCTAAATCGCCATCGCCGATTAAACCCCCCCCCCCCCCAGAACACCGGAACAACACATCAGTATGGATGCTGCTGATCTGGAGCAGGGAGGGGAAGGATCATACGGATGGAGTGCCACCACGTATGCGACCCTAGCGCCGAGTACGTCTGCCGGACACTCACCATCCGCGCCCACCACCAACCCGTCGGGCCGGCCATCAGACGATGGTCAGAGGCCTTCGACCAGCTATGCCCAACTGGTAGCTGCCCCGGCAGTACCAAGGACCAAGACAGCCGAAACACCAAAGCCGCCGGAAGAATCGGCTACAAGGTACCCACCTATAGTGGCTGAGTGCTTGCCGGATTGGACGAAGCACTTCGAAGTACTAGTAATAGTACTTCGAAGTAGTAGTAATAAGAAGCTGGGCCACCCACCGAATGCTCGTCCGTTCGGCAAGGGGGTCAGATTCACCCCCCAGAGTCCGGAAGAATTCCGGACGGTACAAAAGTACCTTATCGAGATCACGGAGAAAGTACCAGCTATGTCCTGGTACTGCTACACCCCCGAGGAGGACAAGCCCACGAAAGTGGGTATACGGGGACTACCAGTGGGCACAGATCCATCTGCAATAGAGGGGGCTATCAGGGCCAAGGGGTTCCCGATTAGATATGTCAAAGGGATCCCCCCCCCGTAGAGGCAGACCTGGGTGCCTCTACTTCGCGCAGCTGGACCACCTGAGCCTGGAGCGCCTCAATGAATTATACCAGATCGACGAGCTCCTCTTCATGAGAGGAGTAGTCATAGAGGCCTGGCAAGGAAGAGCGGGCCCTTCACAGTGCCATCGCTGCCAGGCCTTTGGCCATGCGTCTACAAATTGCTTCAGGCCAGTGAAGTGTGTTCGCTGCGCCGGAGATCATATCGCCAGCAACTGCCCAAGGGGTAGAGACGAGGAACCGCGATGCGCTAACTGCGCTAAGAACCATACCGCCAACGATCGCCGCTGCCCAGTCCTGAGGTGGATTGCAAGGAAGCAGGGGATTACTCTACCGGGACTACTCCCAGAGGAGCCCAAGAGGATCCCCCAAAGTCGCCCCAGGGCCGTGGTTCAGGAAGACGGGTGGACCACAATCAGAGGAAAGGGAAGGCAACCTGCCCCCCCTCCACCCGTCACGGCACCCATAGAAACGGTGGTGCCCACCATCACTACATTGAAGGCAACCACCGGGGCGACTCTCCAGCCCCCCGCTAATGACGCCATAGAGCGCCAAACCACCCAGTGGAGTAAGCGGGGGAGGAAGAAGAAGAAGAAGGTGCAGCCTCCTCCTCAGGCAGCAACCTCTACCCCAACCCCAGCGGTAACGATAGCCCAGGTGCAGGTTACCAAGGAGGATAAAGCCAGAATGGGTAGAGTGCCAGAAAGGGCTCTATCAGAAAATAGAGCCCGCTCTACACATAGAGCGCGCTCTACCCATACGCAAAGAGCATCAATCCAACTCCCGAGACCAGCGCCAACTCCTGCACAGGCACGCAGAACACCAACAGCCGGCTTCGAGACTGCTGATGCCATCCAACGTTTGGTTGGCATTGCAATCGAAGTCGGCAGCCAGGTCCTGGCAGACATCAGAGCCGGGACCGACCCTATCACAGCAGTCATGAAGGCGCTGGCGAATCTCCTGGCTCGGCACTATGGAGGAATCTAACCTGCGCCTCCTCTACTGGAACCCAGGTGGAATCCAGCAGAAGCTGCAAGAACTCCGCACTGTCGCCCAACAACAAGACGTACAGGTCATCTTGCTGGGAGAGACGAAACTTAATCCGAGCACACGCATAAAGCTGCCCAACTACCATCTGTATAGGAGGGACGAGGTCACTTCTCAAGGGGCCGCCTACAGAGGGACAGCGGTCCTAGTGAGAAGGGACATCGTCCATCAAGAACTAGACCTACCGGAATACCAGACTATGCGCTCTATCGGCATAAAAATGGACGCGGCGGGCGAGGAACTTAGGATCTTCGCACCATACCGCCCGCCAGCGACTCCATTTTGCTCCTCAGACGTCCGGACGGTAATGGAAGGCGAAACACCGACCATCATCGCCGGGGACCTAAACGCCAAACACCCGGCGTGGGGATCTAGACTGATCAACCCGCCGGGTCACGCACTTTTTGAAGATGCCGAAAGACACGGCTACGACGTTTTAGGTCCCGAAGAACCCACTCATGTTCCGGATCCACGAAGTCGTCCGGATGTATTGGACATCGTGCTCGCTAGGAACATCAACTACCCGATAGTGGTAGAGGTGCTGTACGACCTGGATTCACAGCACCACCCGATCTTAATTACCCTTGGCTTAAAGGCGGTGACTACGCCGCCCAGAACAGTGAAGACACGTGTCGACTGGAGGCTCTACCACAAACACCTACAGGAGAGACCTCCAGCACACCACCCCTTGAACATAGCGGACGACGTAGAGGCCGCAGCCGCAAATATGACAAAGGCGATACAAGAGGCCCTCAACGCTGCCTCTACGATCGTCCCGATGTCCACCAAAAGGGATGATCTGCCGCGACACATCTGCGTGCAGATTAAGAGAAAAAGGGCCCTAAGGAGACTCTGGGCGCGTACTCGCTGCCCGAGAATCAAAACGAAACTGAACACCTTGTCGGAGGAACTGTCGGTTGCAGTCCAGGCACACAGAGGAGATGCCTGGGAGCGGCGTATATGGAAGGCGGAAGAGCATGATGCGTCGCTCTACAAACTGAACCGACAGTTAACTAAAGCCAAACCTCCCGTTTGCCCGCTGACCAACAACGCGGGTGAACGTCGTTACGATGCCAAGGGTAGAGCGGATATCCTAGTCGAGCACTTCGAGGAGCAATTTATGCCGAACCCAGCAAGTGCGGAGTTCTTGGAGCTTCATGCCCAAAAGGAGAGTCGCGTACAGGAGTTCCTGTCGTCGCCCGCGCCGCCTCTTGCAGGAGAGTGGTTTATCTCCCCCGCTGAACTGCGGTGGACAGCAACCCGCCTGCAACCGAGGAAGGCGCCGGGGCACGACGGGATTACCAACGCTGCACTCCGACAGCTGTCCCATAGAGTCCTAGTAGAGCTTGGTCGACTCTACAATGGGATACTGCGGACATCCCACTTCCCGGAGGACTGGAAGAAAGGCAAAGTAATCGTCTTGCCGAAACCCGGGAAGGACAGGCGTAGAGCTGCCAGCTACAGGCCGATCACGCTGCTACCACACATAGCTAAACTGCTTGAAAGATTGTTGCTAAGACGCCTCCGCCCGTGCATCCAACTTCGGGCGGAGCAGCACGGATTCAGGAGGGGTCACTCTACAGCAACACAGCTGACCAGAGTGCTGCACCTGCTTGCGGCCGATTACAACCGTGGCCGCACTACGTTGGGCGTCTTTCTCGATATCGAGAAGGCGTTTGACAGGGTGTGGCATTCTGGACTACTTTATAAATTGGAAGAACAGACCAGTGTCCCTCCTGCTATGTTGCGGCTAGTGGCGTCTTTCCTGGCAGACAGGAAGTTCTACGTCTGCGTAGAGGGCGCCGAGTCCGCAACCAGAACCATCAGAGCCGGCGTTCCTCAGGGCAGCTGTTTGTCTCCAGTCCTGTACGCGGCTTATACCAACGACATCCCTACCCTGGCAGGCAGGCTGCAAGAATGGGAGGACGACGTGGAATTGGCGTTATATGCGGACGATAGCGCTTATTTCACCTCTTCCAGAAGAGCCCATATTGCCGCTGCCAGGATGCAACGCCTCCTGGACCTGTTGCCACCATGGCTAGATGAGTGGAGGATGGTCGTCAACGTTGGTAAGACGACCGCTCTGCTCACTCGCCGCCTCAGGAACCTACCACCTCAACTAACCCTCAATGGCCAACAGATCGCGTACGAGAAGGCCGTGACCTACCTTGGGTGCCGGATCGACCGGGCGCTGCGCATGACTGCGCACGTCGACCTCGTTGTCCGCAGAGCACGATGTGCGCGGGCGATGCTACGTCCGGTCCTGGCATCCAAGTTACCACTTAATACCAAAGTGCGTGTCTATAAGACTTATATTAGATCAATCATCACCTATGCTGCTCCGGCCTGGTACGCGCTTCTGAGTGAGCCTCTGAGGCGGCGACTGCAGGCCCAGCAAAATATGGCGTTAAGAACCATCGTCGGTGCGGGTCGCTACGTCCGGAATGACGTCATAGCGGCCATCCTGAAGATCATCACCATCCAGGAGTTTGTGGCCCGGTTGGCGCGCGGACTGTTCGACCGTGCAGACAACGGGCCACACTTACATCTAAACAACTTTGCGCCGCCACACTCTCGCCCTCCGGACGGGCGATCCTATCCAATAGAACTCCTCTCTATATCGATTAGAGAGTCGAGTAACAACCCTCAATGCCGCTGAAAGGCCAACCCTGACTTTACTGGATAACCTTCTTTTTTCGTAGTCTTAACCGGCTACGAAAAAATTTTACCGATTACGGACAATCCGAATTTTGACACCTACAATGCCAATAGAAGGCTCCCAGGACCGGTCCATAGTGGTGGACCGCAATGACAGCAAGGACAGCACGGGTAATGGGGGCTTACCCCGAGGCCCGAAACCTCCATGTGCCCAAAGACACGTGAAGAAGACATCAACGGATACATGACGATAGCGGCGTGTGAAGACGATGTGGCGCTGAATGATATTTGCGGCTGTTTCTTTATTAGAACGTTAAATATATACGTCAAATTATCTCGCATCGATATGCAGCCCACAGTATCTCAGTAGCCGGGGATAATTAGGAAATAAATGTTTTATTCGCCTTCTGTGTTATGGTAGCAGCAGGGTATATATTATTTAGGGTTGATTAGCCTGGCTGCTACAAAAGTAATAGGTTCAAGAAAAAGACTGTTTACATTTTATTTCGTCGTATCCAAAGACAACTATAAAACACGGAGTTTTAGTATAAGATTTGTAGAGAGAATATTATGATACATCAACAGTCTTTATCTTTTCAATGACTACACAAGTCCATATCGCTGACTTCAATGCCCACTTCAATACACATTTCCAACAAAGGATGGTAGCTTGGGTTTTTATACTATTCTAAGCCAGCCCACCAGATGGTAAGTGGTGTATGTAGCCTAAGAAGGTGATGCACACTGACTTAACAAAAGCCTATTCAGTCTTGCCTTGAAGACACCAACATTACAATCGTATGGGAAGATAAATGCTGGCAACTTATTCAACTCCTTTGCTGTACGCATGACGAACGATCTATCAGACCGTTTGGTTCGAATGCATGTGATAAGTCAATAACGAAAGTGGAGATTGGCCTGGCAACCATCGTATAACATCTGGTTACACGATGGTGGAATGGAGAGGGAGGAATTAAATTATGCACCTCCTGCGCGCACTCTGCGAAACGCATCCTGTAAAAATTTACTACCTTAATTTTACTTTTAATTTTAAAATTTTACTTTTAAGAAATGAAACCACGTTTTGGAAAAACAATAGCATTTATTTTAATACAATTCTTTCTAAACAAATATTCTTAGACTTTTACAGTGATAAATTTGACATCCAGTCTGACTAACGAATGCAACGCAACGTGAAGCAACTCTGTATAAATGTATTTATTCCTTTAAGAAAAAACTACTTTTAGAAAAATACACGTTCTCAGTGCTTTGATCTCCTACACTATATGACTGCTACATCATCTATGTGCATCTTTGAGTGTTTGTGATAACTTACTTATGGTTTAACAAATGCACCTTTAAATGATGTCCGTACCAAAAATTTGAGATTTTCAATCCCACTTCCAATCTGCGACTTCATTAATATATCGCAAACGGCGTCAATATAAATATATAGTTTACAATCTAATATTTACAAACTCTAACAACTATATACACAGATCATTAATTTATATAAAAACGAACATAAATAATTTTATTCAAGTCCCAACTAACGTTAAAGCATTCAAGAAGGTGAATAAACACTGTCATAATTATTTTACAATAATTCAAATTTGCAATGATCTCAAAATGTTTTAAATTTTCTTTATGTTAATACATACATAAACAAAACTTCCCATAATTTATAATATATTATCTTTACACCGTGAAATTACCCTGTCTCGCTAAGCTGTAGTTATTATTAAATAAATAAATAATTTATACTTTACACTCCTGTCAAACAAAATATTAATGAGCAAATATAATGATAACGAGAAAATATATTATATAGACTCAATACAACATTATATAATATTTAACATAGTCGAAGCAATGTCTCGTAAATATAGCATCATAGTTGTCTACATTTACAAAATATTTAAACATTATTGCTTTAAAAATCATTAACCACGGTAAAATAGTTGAAATAGTAGTTCTGTCAATTAAATACAATAATTTCAATATTAAAGCCGGTAAACAAATCGGTTTAATGTCTCAAGCATGTCACTTGTCAACATCACAAGCAAGAATGTCATACTGAAATAATCATCATATTAATAATATACTAAATTTAAATAAAATTAATATGGACCAACAAAAGAACTAAATTACAAGACCCGCCCTTGGACCAACAGTGCTGAGGAAGAATACAGATTTTTGTTAATTATTTAATAGAATAAAAGGGAAGCAAGCGAGCACAGAGTCCACCTTATGGTAAGCGGATGCTGTGCCCCATGTATATACCTACATCTACCCTCGATTCAGAATCAAATTGCTGACGTTGTCACCACTGACCACCACTGACCACCACTGAAGACTAAGATGGAATGCCTCATTGCCAGTAAAAATGGTCAACGGTTCTCTACACTCACCATACGAAACACAGCAGTACGCTGTCTGCTGTTTTACGCTGGTATTTTGTGAAAGCGTGATAGGACCCCCGGTTGAGTCGACTCATTACGACTTACATAGCGTGACTCTACCACGTAAAACTTCAAACAGTGATTTGAATACTATAGACACGTTACGTAACACAAAAAACAACCGAAAAATGTTCAGAATAAAGCGCCAACACACATTATATATAAACATTTTTACTGTACACATGGAAGTATTTATTACTCGAGGGAATTAAGCGTTCAACAATATGGCACTATATTTCAAAAACATTAAAAATCCATCGCTGATTAGCTAACAGTTCATTATATTTTGTTACGACAATAAGGAAATAAGGTAAAAATTGACCTGAAAAAATTGACCTCATTTCCCGATAGAATTTAGTTTTTTTTTTGCGATTGCGAATCAAAATGCAAATGCGTTGTCACCCGTGAGGAGATCGCCTCCTTTCCAGTTCCAAAAGGGTCTCCGGTTCTCTACACTCACCATTCGAAACACAGCAGCGTTAAGCTGCTATTTTACGCTGGTAATCTGTGAGAGCGTGGTCACTCCCCGGTCGAGTCGACCCATTCGTGCTACAACTATACTACGAATATAACTGCAGTGTTGCTATACGTATAATAAATATAAATAGCCTACAAAGTTTATTATATGAACTCAATGTGGTCGTCTCTCATCGCCAAGGACGTTTTATGTAATAAAGTGCAATGCAAATTATAATTGATCAGTATTGACGGTATTCGAATATATATATATATATATATATATATATATATATATATATATATATATATATATATATATATATATCCTTGGCAGAGCAATTGGTAAGCCACGCCTACTAAGCTCAATTTGCATTGAGCCATTTTTGTAGCATTTATACCCTTTATTTTCAAGAAAACAAGCCACAACATCATTCAGCTACTACCACTATGCAACGGTTTCAATGCTTGAGTTAACAAAATGTGTGCGACATATTAACGAGAAAAATTTATTAACAAAATATAGCACCTAATAATTTGACTAAAATTTCAAACTGTTTTGAAGAAGCTGGTAGACAGTATGCCTGGTAGATACATAGACAAGTCGGGACCGGCTCTATTAGAATTCCATATGACCAATCAACCTTTTTTATGTGTTGGTTTATTTTGGTACAAACTAAATTATACTATACATACTATGTATTATTATATATAGATAAATTCCAAATTCTTTACTTTAAAACTGGTATTTTTGACTCCCCCATTTCTTTACGTTTGAAGAGAAAAAGAATAAAAAATATAATAATATACGGTCTCAAGACATATTAAAACAGGAAAGAAAAATAAACTTTTGGTAAATCCAAATGTGCATGGCTTAAGCGCTCATGTTATACTTCCATTTTTATTCTTTTTTCAAATTAATTAATTAATATATCGATATCCGCTAAGTATACGTATGTATCTGCCTGATACACTAAATGGTTTTTATTGCATTTTTGGCATCTACATATCCGTATTTATCATATCAACAATTTTTTTAAAGTTTTTTCTTTTTAACATATTTTTTTCTAAACGTATTACTGTTTATCTGCAATTCCTAAAAACACAGCGTACAACCATTTAAGTTCCGGATATATATTTTAACGCGGGGGGAACGGGGTGTCGGTTGCAGGTAACTTCCCCTCCCTCAGTTCTTCTGCGGACTGCGAGTGGCATGCGCAATCGCTGCATAATATTGTGCGATGTCGAGTAAACGTTATATTTTTTTAAATACGCTGAAGGAAGATGCAATTAAAGGACGAAAATTTAAGATTACTGAACAAATAAGGTCATCAGACCAAATATGCTCACCGTCAAGACAAGGTAAGTAGTATTTTCTAATTATTTTATCAAGATTGAAGTGTATTTTCTATGTAATTGTCTTAAATTGTGGTTTTTTACCATACTGAAAATATCTGAACACGTCCTGAATCCAAAATTTATTATAATAATTACACTACGCGCATTTTATTCAATCCCGATGTACAAGTATGAATTCAGTTTGATCGTAAATCCTATCTAGCACTTACATACTTATGCAATGAAATTTTGTTGAAGTGAAATCAGTTAACTAACACATATATTGTTTTACATTGGGATGTTATTCGATTATAAATATTTAACTGTACACTTACACAGTTATACTTTAATTAAATTGTGTGGATTATCGAAGAAAGTCGAGTACCTTACAGCATTTTGGTGTTTTTCAGATACTCCAGTACCCTTCTCTAAAGATTTCACTGAAGAAGACTTGCAAAAATTAACGGAAATGATCGAGGACAGTGATGAAGAACCAAGTGCTAAAGAAAGAGATCTTAAGGCCATAGAATGTTCCATAAACCATTCCTCAATAACTACAAGTTGTGAAGCACCAGTAGTCTTGTCAGAAGACTGCTTTCATGACCCCACATTGGCACCTATAATGCCACAATCGCCTATGATGATCAGTTTCAGTTCAGGTATTAGAAATGATATTTCTATAGTCACCAAATTTCTCGTCATTCATAGCTCAAGAAATTACCCAGTTAGAATGCGCTCACTCACCAGCTCCAATACCACTTGTTGCCATGCCAGTTAGTTCCCCTGTACCAATAGAAACCCAGTCGTCAGAAAACGCTCTTCACAACAGTGAACCACCACCGAGGAAAAGGCAAATCACAAGAAAAAAAGATAAAGGTCGATTACGATTGATCCATCGAGATCAATGGTTGGATGTTCAGCGTAAGACAAATAAAAATTTAGGAAAAGCATATAAAGGTAGGGATGGAAGACTAAGGAAAGGGAAAGAGATGGGGCTAGCATGTGGAGAAAATTGTAAGTTAAAATGTTCACAAAAAGTTACAGATTTTGAACGTAACCTGCTTTTTAAGGCATTTTGGTCGATGGGAGAGATAGTTCGACATTGGGATTTCATCAATAAGTACTGTGATAAAATTCCAAAACGTCGTGTTACTACTGAAACTGCTTCAAGAAGAGAATTCACTTTACGATATTATTTACCTACAAAAGTAGATGAAATTCAAAATGCCAATTAAATAAATGAGACTGATTTGCTGGCTACAAAGCCACAGGTAACGAAGACACAAGTTTGCAAAACCATGTTCTTGAACACTTTTGGAATCAAGCAAGGTTTCGTTTACTCCGCTCTGAAAAAACTGTCATTGCAAGGCACTGTTGTCCACGACAAAAGAGGCCTCCATGGGCATACTAAAAAAATCACTGATGAGATGATTGCCAGTGTTTGTCACCATGTGAACAGCTTTGCTCCTGTGGAATCGAATTATGTTCGAGAGCGAACTAATAAAGTGTACTTGGATGAATCTCTTACATTCGCTCGAATGTTTCTGCTCTATAAAGATTGGGATGATGCTCGAAACCAAAATAAAGTATAACAGCAAGACAATACAGAGATATTGTTAATAAGCGTATAAATTTGGGATTCCATGTCCCCAAAAAAGATCAATGCGATGTTTGTTACGTGCATAAAAACTTACCACGTCCTATTACTGAAGAGCAACTTAAAATTTACAACACACACATGAGAAAGACAATTGCGCGAGAGCTTAAGAATAAAGATAAAGAAAACTCTTTGAAATCAAATAAAGTTATTTCAGCAGTATATGATTTTCAAAAAGTGCACGGAATACCCTACGGTGAAACAAGTATTCTTTACTATAAAAGAAAATTAACCGTATTAAATTTCACCATTTTTGAAATGGGAAACAGAGTTGCCAAGTGCTATGTTTGGGATGAAAGCACCGCAAGGCGAGAAGCAAACGAGGTGAGTAGCTGCTTATATGACTACATTAAAGAAAATCACCAAAAGGGCGTAAAAGTTTTCAATTTTTGGTCTGATAATTGTGGAGGACAGAATCGTAATCGAATTGTTTTTGCTGCCTACTTGCTAGCAGCAAAAGGTTTTCAAGTCACCATAACTCATAAATATTTTGAGAAAGGTCATACACAAAATGAGGGCGACAGCGTACACGCACTTATCGAAAGAACTGCCAAGAATAAAATGGTGTACACACCCGAACAATGGTTTGCCCTCATAAGGTGGGCCAAACAAGATGGAAACCCATACATAGTAAAGGAAATGACTACTTCAAATTTTATAGATTTCAAAGCACTGCTCCCTGGATGCAACTGGACTATAAATACAGACAGAGAACGAATTTTCCGGTCTCATCTTAAACAATTAGAAATATTGCCAGAATACACTGACAGAATACAGTACAAAACCGATTATTGTGACCACAAGTTCAAGTGTATATTGTAAATAATGCACTAGAGACTCCTAAAACTAGAGCAAAAAACCGCATGAGATTAGACAATAGTCCACTTCCAGCCCCGCTTTCAAGAACATTGAGCCAAGCATACGAGGGAAAGCTTCCAATACCACAGGCCAAACTTCAGGACTTAAAATACTTATGCCGTAATAATATAATACCTTTCATTTATCATGATTTTTACATGAGGCTGATAGAGGGTGATGATGAAAACGAACAAGGCCAAGAAGACGAAGAACTAGATCTCTGTACGGGTAATTAGATTAATGATAATTTCAAAAGTGTCATTATTGAAATCGTTACATAATAAGTTAAATATAAACAGAAATGTTATCCTTAAGAATATGATAAAAATATTAATTAGTAACTATTTATTTTATCAACATTTGATCTCAGTACAAGAACGTGACAAAAGAGCTTTAAAAAACAAGTATTTTCTGAAATTGTTAAGCAATAATTTTTTTAGTCTATTAATATAATAGGATGATAAAGACCGAGAATGTCTCAAATAAGAGAAAAATCTGAATATTTTTGTTATTTTGTTGATTATGATTGTTGTTATTAATTTGATTTTTATGCTTTTTCTTATAAATGTTATACTTTAGATTATTTTTTGGTATAAAGAAAAATCAACAGAATTTTTTTTATAAGTATTTGAGTATAAGACACGTGAAACAAAACTTTTGATACTACATTTTTTCAATTACGATAAATAAATATTAATGCAAATTTATCAATTGTCTTTAATTTGAAATAACAGGACTCATGAAGACTTTTATTTAGCTTCAAATTCAGATACCCATGCTACCACAATAATATAATTAAGGTGATAAAATATGCAAGTAACATTTACACAGAATATTTCAAATGTCTACACCAACTATAACTGTGTAACTGGTGGTTAAAGAACTTAGGTGCTTAAATATTCCATTGAAGATGTGTGTTTTGCTTAGCATGTTTTGTTAAATTCTTAGAACAAGGTAAAAATATATATATGTATGATAAAAAGAAACCTGAAAGTTCAAAAACAAAATTTATGCCTTATTACAATAACCGCATAAGTTTAAAACCTTTCACCAAATATCAGAATATAAATATATACAAGATTAAGTTATGGTGATTTGAATTTTTTGAAATCTTAAAATCGCTCTTCTGTAAAATTTGCGTCTTTCAGCTACTTAGTTGTACGTAGGATGTGTCGATTATCATTAATTAATATTATATTAATTAATGAACAATCGATATTTTCGAAGGTTTTCGTGTTTACCCCGCCATGCGGACTTGATAAATCGACACCACAAGCCACTAAAACGACTTTTTAATGTAATATTAGCAATTAATCGATTTAAAAATAATAATAATAAGTTCAACAATCATTTATCATTCTAGCAATGTTCTTTTTATATCATTTATATGTTCAATATGATTGTTAGATACGATTTCATGCAACAAAACGTTGGACTCTTGATTTTTAAGCGCTAGTAGAACATACCTACGCGCTATGCGCTTAAGGCATGCAATATTTTATACTCCTTTTTCCTACATGTAATGAAAAATTATGCAATTGAATGTATAATTCAATATTCGATTTTGGATTAACATTCTACACTAAATAATATCTAAATTTCAAGTCTGTAACTAATTCTGTCTACATGCTAGAGATCCGAAAAAACGCAGACAAATAGTTGTGACACGGGACTGGGGGGGGGGGGGTCATTTTACTCTTTAGTAAGGGAAAATAAACCAAACATTAATTAAAATAAAAAGGACGACTTTATAATTTTTCTCAGTATGTGGCGTTTTGACACAATGTATTAAAAAATGAATTATAAAAATAAGTTTTATAAATTAAATACGCATATAATATATTTGTTAAGTTCTAAAGCCTACATATTACTTTACTGGCCTTTCAGTATTCGTGTAAACTAATTTTGAAATTAAGGTTTAATATCTATTTAAATCTGTATTTTTCTCAGCTCTGAAAGTCTGAAAATCGTTTAATAACATTACAGGAAAAATTTAAAGCATATAAAAAGTTTAATGCTCTTTTCTGTTTCAGTCTTATTCATAAAGTTTTCTTAAACCTCTCAATGGCGATAACATTTATTTCTGGGCAATCAACCTCGTGATTTCTTCATAAGAGTGGCATTTTGAGTTATTATTTGGTTGGTGCTTATTTTGATACATTTTCGTCGTATTATTTATAGGAAATGAAACAAACGAGTATGTCATCTGATGTCACCAGGGGAATAACTGGTGCGTTGCAGGCCTTAAAATAGGAGTAGGCTCTTTTCTTGAAGGTTTCCAAGTGCCAATCGGTTGCAAAAAATCTCCGGTGGTAACCGATTTCACAAAGCAGCCGCTACTTGCACGAAGCTTTATATCTATGATCTGTATTGTTTTTCTTCTGTTTTTGTATTTTTTTCTTTTTGCACAATAATTGATTATCGTTAGCAAATAACAAACTAAGGGTTATTATAAAATAAAAAAATACGAACTGTTATCAACCTTCTCTTAAAATATTTTTTGTATTGGAATAGTATAAATTAAAAAAATTAATAAAATTGAAATAGTACAAAATGTTTATTGTATTGAAATAGTATAAATTATGCATCTACATTATGCTTTGGATCCTGTTTCCGTAATATATTAAAAACGGCCATGTTTAAGTACTGTAAATACTGTGATCTCTGAAAAACTTCAAGAATTCTACCGGACTGGCTTTTCAACTTATTAAATACAACAAGACGATTTAATGGCAAAACCATCAGAACAGTGCTTTGTTACTACAAAATATTGTGTTTCTGGTGTCTCTCAAACTCTTCGCTTCTCGAAACATTTAGTGTGGTACGACATTAAAATTTCATTCAAATTTAAAGCCAGTTTTGATCTCATCATGAACATCGACGAATGAAACGTAATGCAGGATTTTAAGCCCGTCTTGCGTGTCGCATTGGACCTTTTAGAAACTATTTTATTAATAATTGGAACAGACTATATTATATAGATAGAATAGAATATTATATATATATATATATATATATATATATATATTAGAGAGAGAGAGGAGAGAGAGAGAGAGAGAGTAATATAGAATAACACACGAGCACACAATCTACCTGATGAGGCTAAGGCCCATAGAGATCTACATTTATCCTCAATTCAGATTCAAAATGCAGATGCGTTGTCACCCCCGAGGACCAAGATGGAATGCCTCGCTTCCAGTAAAAAGGGTCTCCGGTTCTCTTCACTCACCACACGAAACACAGCAGCATTAAGCTGCTATTTTACGTTAGTCTTCTGTGAGAGCGTGGTCCTTCCCTAGTCGAGTTGACCCATTCGTGCAATAACAACGATATAGCTGTAGCATGGCTCTACCACATATAAGAGATTAATGTTTGTTATTGAAATATTATTTTTTTTTATATTAATTGTGTTAGAAATGGATAAACCAAACTATGGATATTTCTAAAAGTAGAAGAAATTAAATAAGTTAAGTTAACAAATAATGATCATACCACTGCGGATGTTTGAACTAAAAATCTTTTATTTGAAATGCAACTTTCCAATGATGATGGCACTATGCGACCGTCTATCGGACAAATAAGTTCAGCTTCAACTACCACAGTCTCAACTATAACAACCTTTGATAAGCGGGAAATTATATGCCTTCGTAGTTACGCGGTACTAGTCCCGCAGAAACCACGATGGTTGGTCACCTTATTTATTATTATTATTGCATAAAATTTAAAATTTCTTCACACTTTTTATGAATAAGACTGTAAGCCTCTTCTATTTAACAATACCTTTAGTTTTTAATTATAATCTCATTCCATTTGGTTTAAGGATAGGGTCTGAACTAGAATAAACTTGGCATCATGTTCAAATTCATTGTCATAGAACTGTAAACTTTAAATATAGGTGGGACAATATTCTAAACTTGTGCCACAAGCGTCGCAAGCAGTCGCAGCCCTATTGTTAACTAAAGTGCAAGTGGGGCATTCCCTACCTCCAGAGGTAAGGGGTTGTATTTCCGGGCCTCTTTTCGATTTACCACACATTTCGCAAGCCTGCAATGATGCTTTATTTAAATACGTACATGTAGCACACTGCCATTTGTCCCTCCTACCCTCAATTTCTCTTACATCAGGCCTCTCTTTGTCGCTATTATGATGGGAAGCCCGACTTGAAGAGCGCTCCCTTTCACCATTTTGCTGAGCGTGCTTTGGTGGTGAACGACGTACGTAGTCTGGCTCGTCTAGTGAAACAACTAACTGCTGCTTTAGATCGTAATTTGACTGGTGTGTCCTAGAGGCTGTAAAAGTGAAAAAGAATGTTATAATCATCATTCAAATAATCCCAACTTTTAGGTTAACAAGAAGAATTTTATCATAAATATAGTTGTAAGTTGGCACCATACACTAGCCAAAACCAAGTCTAATATGACTTGTAGTTGTCAGTATGCCACAGCTGGTCATGGCTATTTCCAAAAATGGAACAGCAGTAATGCATTAGGTCAACTACACTTAAACTAGGCAGGCAAGTTGATACAGCATAGCCGATAGAAATTCATTTTTTCCTATGAATCAGTAGCCAAAGCCTTGTTGACTTTGAAGAAAAAGTTGAAATTGACTTAGATATAAAAAAAGCTAATTAGTATTTTTTTATATTTTTCATAGTTAAAAAAACCATATTTGTACATTTAAAATGTTGCACAAAAAATGCCAATTTTTTTTTTTGTTCAACTTTTATTAAATCATAATCGCTATGTTCGAGGTAGTAGGACTGCTTTTCTACCGTTGAGTTGCCGGGTAAGATTTTTAATTCTTAATTGCCAAGCAGCAATGCATCCAATAATGTGTTCTAGTTTGAAAGGTGAGAGAGCAACTACGAGTTGTATCACTTACCTTCAGTTGGACTGTTTACTCATTATACAAATGTTTATAACGGGTGTTTGTGAAACGCTCCCGAAAACGAAGACAGACGATAGTACTAACGATACTTTTAATAACGGGACAGAAAGAAAATCGATCCTTATGAAAAAAAAATCACCTTTTCACAACGTTTTATTAGCTTTATTCACGCTTCATAATGTTAGCACAGCTAAATGAAACGATAATTTCATTTAAAAAATCATGAAAATACTTAAACATAAAACCAGCAGTAAAACTTAAAATAAAAACAGCTGAAAATAGGGTCAATATTCGCGTGGACGCTGAACTCTTTTATCTTGCTCGAAACGAAACAATGCATTATGTATTACTCTACTGCACTTACGCTCCCTCTACCCTTCCTTTTCACACACGCGCTGCCGCCGCCCGGCCGACTCGTGTCGTCTTGCACTGTGTAATTTACACATGTTCAGCGTTGCCAACATGTGGGGAATTCGCCAAATTTCGGGGAATTTAAAGTTGGTTGGGGATTTTTTTGGGAATTGGTATTATGAGGAGAAAATGCGAAGATTTTTAAAATCGATAGCCCGGGCCAAGTCAGAACTTTTTTTCAAGAAATCTCAATACTTATCTTAACATTTTGGTTAAGTTAGTTATGAATATCTTTTTTTATTATCTTTATTGCAACACATTTAATTTTCAAATTTATTTCGGGAGCTTTTGTGTATCATTTAATGCTTTTCATTTCTTTTTTTTTATTTTAAAGCAGAGTAAATGCAGATCCTGTGGTACTTTTTAATGGCAACAAGGGAAGGAATTAAAAATACTCCATGGAGTAAAATGCTTGTTACTAAATATGAAAAGTGTGAAAAAAAAACGGTAAAAAAAACTGTTAGTTAAAAATAAATCCGATAAAATTAGTTGAAAATTGTTTAATTTCTTAAAATAAAATTGAGGGGAAATAGTGAGGAATCTGTTGAAGTTTTTTTCCTAAATTGGGGAATTCGACATGGATTTTCGGGGAATTCGGCAAATTGGTGTTGGCAACACTGCACATGTTGCACCGAAATTCACCGAGCTTAAAATTTGCAAGCGACATAAGAATTTTTTTTATATATATAGGACGGTGACAAACGAGCACCAACCACTCACCATCAGTCCAACTGATGGTAAGTGGCTGCTGAGGCCCATAGATATCTACATCTATCCTCGATTACGATTCAAAATGCAGATGTGTTGTCAGCCGTGAGGACTAAGATAGAATGCCTCTTTTCCAGTAAAAAGGGTCTGCGGTTCTCTACACTCACCATTCGAAACACAGCAGCATTACGCTACTTTTTTACGCTGGTCTTCCGTGAGAGCGTGGTACTTCCCCGGTCGAACCGATCCAATTCGTGCTACAACTATACTTCTACTATAACTGCAGCATGGATCTATCACGTATACTTATTAGAGGCGGCAATCACAATAAAACTTGCAAGTATTTTTTAATAATTTTGACGTTACTATTTTTAAATTTAAAGTATTAGACGGATTAAAACGGAAAGTCAATTAAAATAAAGTAAAAGATTTTTTTTGATTAATTTTGATGGATTAATTAACAGTCGATCGTAATTTCAATTGATCTTAACAATTAAATTATTGAATACATTTCACTTCTATTTTCTTATACAAAATCAAAGATAACGATGAAATAGTGTTCATAATTGTATAAAGTGAGTTCCCAATTAGATACTTTTATTAATTTCAATATCATTTTTGTAGTAACGAACTGTTTGTTTCATCAGGATACAATTAATTGTCTTATTGTATTAAAAAATGACAACTATAACTTCTCAATTCCATATGAAGACTAGTCTTAGGGATAACTAAACTTATAAAAAAGTTTGGAAAATCCGAAAGTGCATGCCTCGTAATCTTATTTGATTATTTAAAAAGAAAAATATCTCTTCCATATTTGACACGAAAGCTGAGATCCATGAGAATATTTTCTTGTAGAAAAGTACCAGTTGTTTTTTTACATATTCAATAATTACAGTTAAACAAGACCAAATTACTCAGTGATTTTTAAAGGATCCTGTGCGTTGAGATTCTAAGCCTAATAAAAAAACTATTATTTTGACACATTAATTCTTACGACCGTAATCGTGCACCATCCATCACACATACAGACATCCGGAAACCCTCGAAATTTTTTTTCAGTCAGTATGATTTTACACTAAATATAGAAAATTACTTTTAAAAATAATAGAAACATGAAAACGAGTGATTTTGCTCGATATATGTGTATTTTTATTGTTCTAAAAGTGCAATAGTAAAAAAATAAAGAAATTTTTAGCTCAGAAAATTACTGGATTTTCATTAGGTGAGAGTAGAGCACAACCTCAACGCTTCGCTTATGAAGCGTGCACTAAAAGTTGGGAATGTCGTAACGGTTTAACGATCTGTGGAAATTATCAAAGTTCTAACCACAAGGACGCACGCACTTAGAGGTAGGCATTTGTATTGGCGGGATTGATTATTGAGTATAGTTTTTGAAACAGTTCCGTGTTGACATGCGCGTGAGCAACAGGTCAATCGCTTTGTTTAATAGATTCTTGTCGTTATTACTTTTTTTTTTTTATAGACCGGCCACATGGAATACTGTTCCCATCTCTGGCTGGGGCTCCACAGTACCAGCTTCTTCCACTTGACCATCCAGCGCACCTAGAATCGTCGACGACAAGTCTTTCCGATCGGCTCGATTACTGGCGCTGCGAAGATGTTGCATCTCTTTGCGTATTTATCGCATCTATCACGGGGAGTGCTCTGAGGAATTGTTCGGATTAATCCCCGCCAAATTTCGTGAACGTACTAACGTCAAACGTCCAGATACCATCCACACCATCTGATGCTTCGGTCCACCACTGTACTTTCACAAGAGCCCGTACAACCAGCACCGATTTTTCCGGACCATCACCTGGTGCTTCAGAAAAGAGCCCATTACTCCTTAAGGACCGGCAGCTGGTGGAAATCAAGTGGTTTTTCACTCCGAGGAGCGCATTTTAGATGTAGTGTGCCGAAATCCGAACCTAGGTACACGAAATATTGCAAAATTATTAAGGCGTCGACATGGAACAAGTGTGTCATCTGGACAGTTCACAAGGTGTTAAAGCGTAATTTTTTTTCATCGAGATCGATTTTCTTTTCATACCATCATCAAAGGTATCGTTAGTACTATCGTCTGTCTTAGTTTTCGGGAGCTTTTCACAAACACGCGAATTATTATTGTACTCTAATATACAAATGTTTAAGCAAAGCAAACCATTACAAAATAATAAATACATCATGTTGTTTACTTTCATAATCATACAAATTAAAGTCTACCAATCCTCCGCCCGTGTCTATCTCCATTCAAAGTTTTGCTAGACTAGATATAGACAAGCTTAAGCGTTACTAACTGGTCACCTGTATATACTGCTTCCACAGTTGATGAAAAAGTCGACATATTTAACAGCAACATATTAAGACTGTATAATGAACATGCTCCTATGCGTGCCGTTCGACTTACGACCTATTCCATGGATCACGACTAGGGTAAAAATGGCTATGGCAAAACGCTGTAAAAACAAAACGCGTTTCGTGCTTTTAAAGAGAATCGCACTGATATAAAGTAGCAAGCATATAAAGCTGCGAGAAATCGATGCAATCAGATAGTAAGAGCTGCTAAATGCCGATATATCCACGGACAAGTAATTAAATCATCTTCGGCGGATATATGGATGTTGCTCAATACGCCTGAATATGGAAAAAAAATTGCAATTTGACTATAATAGTACCTTTTCTCCTGGCGATATTAATCGACTAACTTAGAAAATTTACGGGTGGGTCTAGAACAAATGCAGATACAGGATCTGCAATATTTTCAGAAGACAGTAAATGGATATATGCGCACCGCAGGGTACCCATAACAAGGTATTTTAGGCAGTATGTAAAGGTATAATCCAGGCGACGATAGCAATAGATGCCAGGAAGATGAAGGACTACTCCATACGAATGCTTACCGATAGCAAGGCATGCTTTGAGTAGCATTGCAAAGTTGCAAACTTAGGGCTGATATACGAATGCCTAAATAATGTAGGTATGTGAATACAACAATGTGGCCTTACAGTGGATCAAGAAACAGTTTAAGGGCAATAACGCAGCAGACACACTGGCCGGAGGACAATCGACTCTAGGTGTTATAGAGCCGGAAACGATCACACTGATTCCCTTTGGGAATATTCAGTCATTGGTACGTAAAGACTCTACTATTCAACACACTCAACTTTTGAAAAATCGAGAAAACTGTAAAAATGCTTAGGAAGAGCTGCCTGCAATTAAGGTGAAACCTACGGACTGTTCCCAGCCATTCTCCCGCAAGATGGCGCTGAAGTCAACATTTTTAGTTTATTTGGATTTTTGTGTAATTGGAAAATTATTAAGTCGTAGGAGTAGACTTAGCGGTTATCGCATATTACATTTTATTGGAATGGGTCATATCATTGCCTCAAAATCCACCCAATTCGACATTAATTTTGATTATAACATCTGTCATTGAATATAGTGTCGTTTACACACACAGACGTATCGTACGTTTACGAAGCTAGAACACTAGATGGCGTGTATGTAAAAAACAAGTTTTTAATTTTTGTGTATGTGCAGATTGGGTAGGCAGAACTACAAAACGCTATGTACGATTGTTATAAAAATAAAATTTATATTTGTTGGCGTAAACTATTTAATTGATTTATAACTTTGGGAAATAAATTATGTCCACATTGATTACAATATAACGCAGTTTTATTTTATTACATTAGACTATTGAATTTTTTATCAAAACATACTTCTGTTTTGATAAAAAATTCAATTTTCAATTCCTATTTGAAGCAACATAATTATACTGATACATGCCTATTCACTCAAAACTAATAACACTGATTATTTGTAACAGTACCAATTATTACAATAATTAGAAATTTCATAACCAACACGTAAGAAACTATAATTCATAAACAAGAGATAACAACAAATCTATAAAAGAATTTATTTTGTGATAATAACCAGGAAGTTTGAAAATAATATTTCCTAATTTCGAAGCACGCAACAAAAGCTTTTAGTAAAACAAAAATAAATATATATATATATATATATATATATATATATATATATATATATATATATATATATATAACGGAAACGGAAATATCTCGGAAACGGCTAAAGCACGGAACAGAAAAAAAGGATTTTATGTAACTGAATTATATTTGTTTCTGAACGCACCATAATGTATGACGTAGTGACGAGTGAACTTGAGCTCTACAAAATATAACAAACTAATAATGTGTGTCTGTCTGAAACTGTTTGCAAAATACGTAAAGGGTGTAACCCGGCAAAACCATATTTAGCAAATGTTTGCAAGTTTAATTTTGTGACTACTTTGGTAATTTACAGATTTATAATAATTGTATTTATTGTTGACCAAAAACATATTCAAACACATTCATATATGAAACACTGACACGTATGTACTCTTTCAGAGTGGAGGCGGGAGCGGGCGCTAGCGTGGGCGCGTGTAAATCAAAATGTATGTAGACGCCAGTTGCATCAGAGTGCTCCCGCGAGCCGCGCGTCTGCATGAGGCGGGCGCGGGCGCAGGCGGCGCGGGTTTTTCTAATGGCTCAGTCCGCTCGCATCGTTCACAGTGATTTAGCGTCTGTTAGGTGACTACGCTTGTGGTTCTAAACCATTTTGATTCACCCGCCGAAGCGTTGTCAATCATCATGGATATCAATACGAAAGAATTTATATCTGCAGTACAACATCGCACTGCTATTTGGCAGAGCAAACATCTGTAACATTTAAATAGGGTGGCCATAAATAAATAAATTATGGGAAGAAATAAATTGGTGTCAATCTTGACTAAATATGGATCTCGGAGATCTTATTTAATATGTAGTCAAAAGTGTCTAATGACATTCTCGTGTATTCAAAGAATTTATCCGGATACGTCCGTAAATCAGCGTATAATACATAAAATTCTTCAAACTCTTCTCTTCCTTTATTTAAATCGTGTGTGCCAAACTTCTATATTGCAATTTCCATTTCAAGTATGAATTTTCCATTAATAAAAGCAAATCTTCATCCATGTCTTCTAAATACGTAGCAAAGTTTGAGAACGACCAAACACATTTGCAATGACACTCGTAGCTCGTTCGGCACTCTGAATATGCAGACGCCAAGACCCGAGCGCCCGCGCCCGCCCCCGCACCCGCTAGTGCAGTCTGATTGGGCGCTATGAGGTAGGTAATCAGTATTGTGACGATATTTCAGAAAAGTCACGGGCCAGCCTGCTGATAATAATTCTACCGAAAACATAATTGCGTTTTTAGAATAATTAATTACTATACCTACGATAAATTACAATATAGTCTCAAATATATACTAGAGAAATATTGCAATTCGAATCAATGAAAACATACACACAAGAAATTCCGCGCGCAAATCATAGCGAGTGACAACCGAAATCAGAATATTATATTTTACAAGTCAAACAAGTGAACGTGCGTAAGTTTGGCAACGCTTTTGTTTCGTCAATTCAAGGTCAGGAATACGATAGTACCGTAGACTTCTCTGTCTACGGTTAGTACTCTTATCAGTTTGTTGTCAGGAAGGACGGCAACGTCGCTTTACCTACGACTTTTGGTATTTATGTTGCCACACAACTATAATAAGTAATAAAATTGTTTACAAAAAAACATATCTAAGGTCATTAGTTTTATGTTATACTGTTTTTTTAACGGTTGGAAAGGAAATTAACCAATTATTGAACTTAAGATATTGATTTATCAGAATTATTTAAGATCACTTGGATGCCATCTAGCGTGCCAATGTTTAAACGTCGCCTTTCGTTTGCTTGTCAAAAGTCACGCACACTACTAAAGAAATGTCAAATTTTTCCGGGATTTCACTATTGCTTTTCTCAGTATATAATGTAAGTTATTGCCTATAAAGGTCAGACGCGTACATATTTCATTGTAGAGAAGTGATAAAATGATTAGTTTTAAAGAAAGAGTGTATGTGTTTAGTATATATTTTGGTTAAAAAATGTATTGGCGGACGGTCGACGCATCCACCTTAATAATTATTTATCTAAGTTCTAATGAGACTAAGAGAAATATAATAAGTCACGGGATAGCAATAAGTGCTATTACTCGGCATGGTTCTATTAACAAACATTTATTTACCATAGGTGTATTATACTTGCAAGTATAAGAAGAAAAATGGCGGCCCAATCGCTACCGGTCCAGACATCGCCACACGCCGGGCGGAACATCTTGGCACGCCAAGGTCGCTCCCCGAGATATTCGGTAGCATTAAATGACTGCTAAACATTTTTATGGCTCAAATAATTATAATATTCGTACCCACATGCAAAATCTACGCTTAAACGTGGAGTTGCGGAATATAATCCGTCAAGCAAAGCTAAACTAAACTAGCCTGTCAAGATCTTCCTGTAACTTCTCACAGTCATGAAAAGGCTTTTCACTTTGATAAACTATTAGATTGCAGCGTATAATTTTAAAAATAAGACTGTACATAATTTAAAATGCAATGTGAACATCAACGGACCCAGTATAGATACCTGCGGTACTCCAGAGGATTTTATCATTATATGTAAGTTTATTAACATTTTGTTGTCTGATAATAATGTATGAAGAAATCCATCATAAGCGGTTTCTGCGAATGCCATTAAATGCAATCTTTGAAGAAGGATGAATGGTGATCACGGAATCCACGTTATTCCGTGATCACTGCACTAACCAATGTATAAGTATTCAATTGTCGATATCAACAAACTGAAAATCCGTATAAAATGCAATGGTTGATCAATTTTTTTATAAAATACGATGTCCAGGAATTAGAATATTGGATAGCTTCGGATAAATTGAATTATATACTAAGCGTTCTATCTATAACTAAAAACTTCTACAAAATTTAATTAAATTTTAAAATTTACTAACCCGACAAAAAGAACATTAAATGTAGAAATACTCACTTGCAACACTTTTTGCAACATGCGACATTTTATGGACGCCGTTTGGCAAAGGCTTGTTGTTACTAGACTTTTCCACCTCAACAGCTACTAACTTAGCTGGTTTCTTTACTTTTTTCACTTCAGCTGCATTTGATGTAGCCCCATTCACCGAAGTCTGTTGCTTAATCACTTCTTTTCTATCTTTTATTTCTTTCTTTGTTAATAATTTAACTTTATCTGTTGAGATCTTACTAGGTATTAGACCATCTGCTTTGGGATTGCCCACTGGTTCTGTTATCTGTCGTTTTGTTTTTCTTTCTTCGCTTGCCTGTTGCTTTTTAGCCAAATGTTTCGCTCTCTTTAACTCTTGCTCTTGCTTCAACCTCATGAGATTCTCATTTACTTTCGCTGTTCTATACTGCTCCTCATCATAAGAGCGATCTAAGTTTAGAGCTTGTAGGCCATCCTCTAAATCTAGAGAAGTCAGTTGATACTTCGATCTCCTTTCTTCCCTATCCAATCTGTCAAGCGTCCTTGAATCTCTATCTAATGATTGAGAAAAGCCGCTCCTACTGTCTCCATCTTGCTCTTTGCTTGACAAATTTCTGAACACATAATCCCAGCTTTCATATGTTCCCATTCCATCTTCTTTTGCTTTGCTTAATGTCGGTTGTGTATCCGAACGAGGTAGACTAGGTAACGTAACATCGCTAAAGCCAGATCTTGATGATGTTCTTTTTAAACTTTCCAGTTGTTTACTGTTCTTTTTATTATTTCTTTCTTCGTCTCTTTGCCTCTCAAACTTTCCATTTTCGTATACTGATGGTGTATCCAGTTCGATTAGCTGAGCTGTAGGCACTGCGGGCATTGTAGTATATCTATACTGTTGCATAGGTGGTGGGTAACCATTGATTGGTACGTTAGTCGCGTGTTTGATTGGTGCGTACACGGGACCTGGTATCATGTAGGGAGTTTGTACGGGGTAATAATACGGCACAGCGCCATAAGGGGTCATCACAGATACAGTATTACACGATGGAACTGTTACGGGGATATTGGAGTTCATATGCTGATGTTGGAAAGGGTACATCATATGTGGAGGTAACATATTAGAAGGCACCATGTAAGAAGGATGAATAATTGGTGTGATTGGTTCTTCTAATGGTGATATGTCATTGCATGAATGATTACACTGTGGCATAAGGGAGTTATTAGGATACCGAGATTCGGGTAACCTGCTGTGATGAGCGTCAGCTGTTACTGTTGCTGGTATATTGGAATATATTTCCGGCTCTGGAAAAAAATGCTTAACATTAATTTTTTAATATATTTTGATATAATAAATTGATTACTTAAGCTGATAAATATAATTTAAAATAGAAAAGTAATGTCTCTATTGACATTATAGCCTAACACAAGTTTACTTCTGAACATAGAGCTCCCCTCCCCCCACATATCGCCTCACATGGAGGATTTTACCATTGTTACCATGCTTGGCAGGCGGGTTAACAACCGTAGTTTTCTATTATATTGAGTTGTTATCAGGAAGAAATTGTTGTCCATCTTCAGCTTCAGTTTCCCTCTGTCGCCTCTTACGATACCCACAGGACGATGTGGGCTGGTCATAGAATACTATAATATACAATAGAATGGCTGTCAACCTTATTTTGTACCGAGGTTCGGCGTCGCCGGGAGCACACATACAAGCAATTACGTCGTATTATCAGTTAATCACTACTACAAACCCGACTGTGTTGACAGACGAATTTTAATACATATTTATTTGTAAATAGCGTGCAATTCGGCATTTTCTAAATTTGCATGCGAAATTTGTAAACGATTGTAACGTGAAAACACATCTCGTGTTGACATTTATATGTGTGAATTGACTTCTTGTGGCATTTTAGTTGCTACACGGGCTGCGCCCACACCCCCGTTCTATTATGTATGTATTATAGTGTTCTATGATGCTGATGGATATACTAACACCGCCACTACACAGTTAGTTAACGAAATTTTGACAACTTAATTGCTTGTCCACTATCAAAAATAACGTGAATCTTTGGGTGCGTTTGGCAGAAAAAAACGCTAGCAAGCGCTTGTAAGCAAAATGGCGATCGTAAGCGGTAAGCGCTGTCAAATCGTAAGTAGCTATTTTCCTCCAGGACATGATGTTAGTTTTAACCGGGGAACCTAACCTAATTTAAATATGTGTTTGTAAAGTATTCATATTAAAAACTTACCAATCATGAATTTTTCATAACATCTATCTGTTTATTCACGTTATTATATTACTTAAAACTAATATTGCACAAAACAACTTAAAAACTCTACTTCAAAACAAACAAATTAAATAAGCAAAATGGCGGATTGTGTCAGCGCTACTGAAGTAGTATCGTGTCCTGGCCGAAAACTATTTCAGCGCTTGTAAGCGCTTGCTAGCGCTTTTTTCTGCCAAACGCACCCTTTCACTGTTGTTATTGCATTCGATGACTATGTATTAGAATGTAATGACACTCTGACAGAAAAACTTCCGAGTATGGGACTGTCATTCTTAAATATTACAATTTAAAATCTATTGACAAATTATGTAAGTATATTAATGAAAACTCAAGTTTCTTTTTAAACTAATTAATGTCCTGTATCGTTCAACTTTTTAACATTAAATTAGTAATAATAATAAAAAATCAAACACTATATTTTATTATTACAGTTGTATTATGTCAGAATTTAATTATTTAAAGTGAAGATAATGCACTTCCATCATTTACTAAAAAGACATACTGCAAATTCCATACTTTGTAAAGCACTTTATATTTACCATCGCTGTACCCGGATAAAGCGGCTGCTGCGGCGGGAGCGGAGCCCGCGCGGGCGGCGCGTTCCCGCGCGACATCCGCCCAGCTCACGCGCACTCCCCTGCCCACCACCTCCTCCCACACCTGGGACATTATCTGACGCAAAATGTTCCACTTAACACCTATTATATTCATTTTTTAGGGCCCATTTTTCAATTGTCAGGTAATAATTATCCATCGAATAAATAAATTATAACCTGACTGAATAAAAAAGTGAAACCATTGAACTATTATTTTATTCATCTTTATATATATATATAAATTACGTGTCACGTTGTTTGTCCGCGATGGACTCCTAAACTACTTAACCAATTTTGATCAAATTTGCACACCGTGTGCAGTTTGGTCCAACTTGAGAGATAGGATAGTTTTTTTGCCCATGAGTGATCCACAACTTTTTTTGCGAATTCAAGGATTTTTAATAGGACATGACAAAGGGTCGTCGAAAAGGGCAGAACAACGTCTGCCTGGCAAGCTAGTATAACTGTAATTTTTAATTTATGTCTTATTTTATATAATAAATTTTTACGAAAAATAGGTCCTTAATTTATATGCAATCATAATTTTATGTTACATCTTGTTTTATTATGTTATGTATTATTTAAATTATAACAATTTTAATTTACATGTTGGACTTTAGCAACTTGTCACGTACCACGCTTGTGCAAATAAATGTCCTTTCATTTCATTTCTTCTCTTTAAGACGACAAGACAACATAAAATACCACATAGTACCTATACTTTTTACTGATAATGTCAAGTTATATTACCTGGCACTCGCAATGTGCAATAAGAGCGTCGCGTGAAACAGCGGCAACCATATCGGGACAGGCAGGCCCGTCCAGTCGTAGACGACCGGCGTAGTGGTCGTCCGGACGGTAGCCCATCGATTGAAGCAAAGTTTCCGCTCCAATCATGTTAGCTTCGACTTCGTGCTTATAGAAGCCAGAGTATAGCTGCAATTTGAAAAATTTGTAACGATTTAAAGCAAAAGACTCTCGTAACATGGTTTTTTCTAAAATGACGATTAGCAAAGGCGATTTTAGTGCATTCTGTACTAGAAGTGCGCGCCGCCGCGGCTCGCCACCGCCACCAAGCCGTAGCGCGCCGCCGCCGCCGCCGACAGTTCAAAATTGGCCGTTAATTTGGACATTGCGAAGGCATTCGATCGGGTTTGGCACAAAGCGCTTCTTTCGAAGCTCCCTTCCTATGGGCTTCCCGAGAGATTGTGCAATTGGATCACCAGCTTTCTTGCGGATCGGGGCATCAAGGTCGTTGTAGACGGTGCAAGCTCCGATTACAAGCCTATTAATGCTGGTGTTCTACAAGGCTGCGTGCTATCGCCAACGCTGTTTCTTCTGCATATCAATGATATGTTGCGAACCCGTAACATTCATTGCTATGCAGATAACAGCACTGGTGATGCTCTGTACACCGGCCGTGCCAATATTTCTCGGGAAAACGTCTCCGAGTACCGGGACAAACTTGTGTCTGAAGTCGAGTCTTTGCTGAACAAAGTCTCGGATTGGGGGCGACTAAATTTAGTCCAGTTTAACCACCAGAAGACACAAGTTCGCGCGTAGACCGCTAAAAAGAACCCCTTTGTCGTATCTCCCCAGTTTCAAGGCACTCCCCTTGTTGCCTCAGCCAGTATCGGTATCCTCGGCGTCGACATATCGAGTGACGTACAGTTTCGTGGTCATTTGGAAGAGAAGGCCAAATTGACCTCTAAAAAGCTCGGCGTGCTCAGCAGAGCGGGACAGTATTTCATGCCGGCACATCGCCTGTAACTTTACAAGGCGCAGGTTCGGCCGCACATGGAATACTGTTCCCATCTCTGGGCTGGGGCTCCCGAGTACCAGCTTCTCTCACTTGATCGCATCCAGCACAGAGCGGCTCGAATCGTCGACGACCGGGTGCTTTCCGATCGGCTCGATTCACTAGCGCTGCGAAGAGATGTTGCATCTCTTTGCATTTTCTTTCGCATATAGCATATACCATGGGGGGTGCTCTGAGGAATTGTTCGGATTAATCCCAGCTGCCATATTTCGTGAACGCACTACGCGGCAAACGTCCCGATACCATCCACACCATCTGGATGCTTGGCGGTCCACCACTGTACGTTTCACAAGGAGTTTTCTTCCGCGTACGGCCTCTCTGTGGAATAATTTACCACCGGCGATTTTTCCGAACCGATACGATCTGGGAACCTTCAAGAAAAGAGCTTACTCCTTTCTAAAAGGCCGGCAACGCACCTGCAATTTCCCTGGTGTTGCGGTTAATCATGGGTGGCGGTAGTCACTTAACATCAAGTGAGCCGCATGCTCGTTTGCCCCTCTTCTATAAAAATAAAAGCAATGCAAAAAAGATGTCAAAGACGTGATCCTTGCTTGATTTTGATTTTAAATAAAGTAATTTTTCCAAAACGGCATTGTATTTAATATATCACCTAAATTTACAGTTATTAAACGAAAATAAGTTAAAATGTTCACGCCGTCGGCGTCACGCCGCCGCTGAGGTAATTTTGAAGGCGCGCCGCCGCCGGTTTTTACTAACTCGGCGCGCACATCTGTTCTGTACTAGTAACAAGATGATTTCTTTTTCTATTAACTACTTTTAATTGTCGTAGTTTATATTTTTATACATTTTTAAGATATTCTGTAAGATATATAGCTTACTTATAGATAATAATTTGCAAGTTGAATATAATAATAACCCAGTAGGAAACCGAAATCACTTGAAGTAAACGACTTTCCATAGATAATGCTGCACTGTCTCTATATCTAGTAATTTTGTGTTTACCAGTCCCTCCTCCAATGAATGTTGTTTATTATAACGGACTGTGCCAATGGAATATACATTTTATTTATTAAATCTGATGTAACTAAGTATCTTAAAAGTTTTAAAAATCCAAGTAAATGTTCTTACTCTGTTAGCTACATAATTTATATGGGAGGTCTAGAAGAGATTTTTGTCTATTATTACTCCTACCACAGAATAAATAATAGTACTACGTACAGAAGTTTCACTCTTTTGATGTTGACTGCTTGCCGAGGTTTAATAGCCTTCATAATTATTATTAATAAGATAAATTGCGCACGCAAGCTAAATAAACCTTTATCGCTGCGCGCGAGTGTCCGTATTACTTTGCTTTTTTTCCCATTCCCACATCACGGCTGTTTTTCCGTGGTTACTTAGGGCTATCAAGAATATATTAAAAACACATGTAAGTAGGTACTTATTAAGCTTACAATATGTATTAATATATGCTCATTTATCTATTATTTATGCACATATGTTATGTGCAATAAAGAGTATAAATAAATAAATTAATTAAACGCTGCGAAATGGTATGTAAAATAGGTAAGGTACCTATTCTGACTGATCGAATATTTTTGCTACTATGTGAATTCTGTGCCTAATGCATGCAACGTGCAAAGTCACTCGTCGCGAATCGCGATTTAATAAATCGCTCGGAAGAAATGGATAGATAGTGTAAGCAACAAATGACCCTGAAATACGATTCCTAAATGAAATGTTATTGTATTCTAATTACTTAAATATCTTCTAAACAAAGTTGTAATTTCAGTGCTTTGTGATAACTTAAAATATTTTAACTACAAAATACATGTAAGTTACCTACGTAAATTTTGTAAGTTACCTACGTAAATTTCAACTAAGTTTTGTAATAAAGTACTTAGGTATTACTTCTGTATTTAAATTATTACGTAATACTTTTTTGCTATATGTATTTATTTAACAAAAAATGAAATAAATGTACCGTTCATTATCCTTAGGTAATTTAAAAATGATATATCTGAATCCTTTTGTATGCTCATTAGTCATTATGCATCCACCCACGCAACAATTATAGTAGGTTCGAAGTTTTGCTATTATAATTTATCAAATATATAGGCCTCTGTCACTCTTGCTACCTGCGTGACATAATTACCTAAAATCGCGAGTCACCGACGGTCTAATACGCAGTCGGGGCTAGCGCGTTGTGGGCGATTGATGAATTTTAACGGTGTTTACATAAATAGTTTTTGGTAAACACTTGTTGTAATTTTGTTTAGTGTTTAGTATATTTAATTGTAAGATAAAATAGTTCAAATTTTTTTAATGTGATTTAAAAATAATATATGTGTAATATTATCTATTTAATAAATTATAATGGCAAAACTTCGAACCGACTATAATTGTTGCGTGGATGAATGCTTAATGAGCAAACAAAAGGATTCAGATATATCATTTTTATGTTACCTAAGCATAATGAAAGGTACATTTATTACATTTTTTTGTTAAATAAGTACTTATAGCAAATAAAAATTAAGTAATATTTTAAATACAGAAGTAATACCTCAGTACTTCATTTCAGAACTTAGTTGAAATTTACATAACTATCAAAGTAGATAAATTACATGTCTTTTGTAATCAAGATATTTTAAGTTATAATAACACAAAGCACTGAAATTAAAACTTTGTTTACAATATTTCTAACGTGTTGGTTGGTTATGGCGTGATTGCAAAAATTTGTTCATTCGATCAGTCAAAATAGGTACCTACCTTACCTGTTTTACTCACCATTTCGCAACGTATTACTTAATTAATTAATTTATACTCTTTATTGCACACAACATATTAAAATAACACAACAACCTTAATTTATAAATTTATGTACAATTAGGTGTGGCCGCATCGCTTAACAGTAATCTCTTCCAGACAAACCTTGGTAACATAGTACCACATATTATTTATTCTATGCCTTGGTGAAGGAAATCCGTAAATAGAAATGTGCATAAATAGTAGATAAAACTAGCATATATTAATACATGTTATAAGCTAAATAAGTACCTACTTACATGTGTTTTTAATATGGTGTATTTTTCTGTGCGGATATTATTACCCGTTTCTGTATTCCACACAATTAAATGTGGAATCAAATCACCTTGGAAGATTAGCGTGAAATTGGAGAGGTTAGCGATTTTATATATACCTATATTGTATACAAATCGTTCTTGAATATTGAGTTATTTTTACTCTGTCTTGACAGCCCTAAGTAACCACGGAAAAACAGCCGTTATGTAGGAAGGGGAAAAGATGCAAAGTAATACGAAGTACGAACACTTGCGCGCAGCGATAAAGGTTTATTTAGCTTGCGTCACAGTGGTGACACTCCCTGTACGTGAGAGCTTAAGCGCCGGTGACCTTGAGTCGAAGCGTGTAACGCTAGGGTTGATATCAAACCGAAATGGAATATTATAGACTTGTACCAAAGAAGATACATAGTAGGTATGTGTTATATATTATGTAAACTTATGTATTTGGGTAGTGAAAGATACGTTCAATTTTAAATCAACTTTTATTAAATGAGGAATATTAAAACTTCCGACAAAACCAAATATGCACGACAGTTAATGGTAATCTTAAATAATTAACCAACACTTATTTCAGTATTCAATAATCAGTATTACCTACTATCCTTTAAAAAAAAAATTTTTTAATTTTCATTATTATTTCTAACAATTGCAAAAATTCGTAGCATGTATATTTTTTTTATAGAAAATCCAAAGATATGCATATTTCCTGGGACATGGCGGCCAACAAATTGTTCCCTATGTGTTAAGGAGATAAGTCATTTCTATTTCTAATGAAATAATCCATAAATACAACAATGAACAAATACAAAAACTTTATAGATATCTAAAATTACTTTATAGATATCTAAAGTTTAAATATCATACCAAATATAAAAAATATGGCAATTTGTCAGATCATGAGTCTTTTTTAGTATTACGTAATCGCGCCAAACAATTAGAATCCGAAATGTTCAACAATTATATAGCAAAGATAGAACTCAGCATAAATAAATCGCCAAGGACCTTCTGGTCTTTCGTGAAATATAAAAAAGCGTCAAACGCTTGTCCATCTATAATGAAGTATGGACACATATCATCAGGCCAAGGGGATACTATTTGTAATATGTTTAGCGATTTTTTCTATGGTAATTTTCACAAAGTTCGCAATAACTATAACACTCGATATGAGCCCGATAATTGGCGATCACATACTGTGTCGGGTATAAACTCGATACAAGTTAGCGAAACTGAAGTCTTTAAGCTTTTAAACTCGATTGACCTTAATAAATCTGCAGGCCCAGATGGTATACCACCCATTCTTATAAGTAAGTGTGCTAAAAGCTTGACTATACCGTTAACAATAATATACAGACGTTCTCTCAAGGAAGGAATAGTACCTCTTATTTGGAAATCTGCATTTATTACCCCCATCCATAAAAATGGTCCAAAAGACCGTGTAGAAAACTATAGGCCAATATCCAAGCTTTGTTTATTCAACAAAATCTTTGAGAAAATCGTATACTCGTCTGTATATCATGGCATCAAACAAACACTCACACTCAGTGATTATCAACACGGCTTTTTAAAAGGTAGACGGTTTCGAACTTTATTGTCTGTTCTGACTATTTAACTAACATCATGTCTGAGTGCTTACAAGTTGACGTAGTCTACACTGATTACAGTAAAGCGTTTGACCGTTTAGATCACGTTATACTTCTCAGAAAACTACTCGAGGTAGGTATCAGCGGCGACCTGTTTAGGTGGTTTAAATCTTATATTGAGAATCGTTGTCAGACAGTAGTACTCAATGGTTATACGTCAGCAACTGTGCAAATCCCTTCAGGTATACCGCAGGGATCTCTATTAGGTCCTTTGCTATTTGCGATTTTCATAAATGATATAGGTTCCTGCTTCACTTACTCCAAAATAATCCTTTATGCTGATGACATGAAAATTTTATGTCCCATTCCAAATTCTTCTGACTGCCTTGGTCTGCAGCGTGATCTCAATGAACTTGAACGATATTGTTCACGCAATAAACTTGACTTGAATGTGTCCAAGTGTTTTATCATTACTTTTACCCGTAAACCCAATCCCACTGTCTTTCACTATAAATTACAAGACACTACTATAGAGAGATTACAGCCAGTAAAGGATCTTGGTGTATTTTTCGATTCAAAATTACTTTTTGATGCACATATTGACAATATCATTAAAAAAGCCAATAGAGCACTTGGATTCGTTTTGAGATTTTCCACTGATTTTTATAATATTAAAACATATAAGATACTTTATTGCGCTCTTGTTCGCTTCCATTTAGAGTACGCCTCTCAAGTGTGGAATCCAAATTATAACATTTATATAGGTAGGATTGAGCAAGTACAAAAACGTTTTCTACGTTTTCTGCAATTTAAGACGCAATTTTACACTAATAACTACATTTCGCGTTGTAAAAAATTTCATATTTTGCCTCTGCACGAACGTAGGCGCATAGCAGATATGATTTATCTTTTTAAATTGGCAAATGGTCATATTGACTGTCCGGAGCTACTGAGTAAATTAGGCTTTACAACAAGAACTACCCTATTAAGAAAGCCTCGCTTACTCCACGTGCCGCATACCCGGAATAAATACAGGCAAAATTCTTTTATAATACGTGCATGCAGAACTTTTAATGACATTTCCAATAGCGTTGACTTGGATCTGTTTAGTACCAGTGTTTCTCGAATCAAAAATATTTTAGCGAAAAAATTCTTTTGTTGAATGTTTTCTGTGTAATTTAGTTAATTTACTGTATTTGTCTTAATCGATGTTTATCTTTTACCGACTGGAATTATTGTTTTTAAGCTCATATTGTCTAGTGGTGAAAACTTTTAAATGGCCTTCTAGTTGCACTTATTTACTGTTAATGTTAGCTGTAAGTTTTCCAATAAGAATAAAATAAAATAAAAATAAAAAAAATAAAATTTCTTGACTCTAGTGGTATTTTTAATAGTGTATATTTCAGTTAATGTAATATAATAAAATTATTGGCGATATATTAGTTTTATTGTCATGGTATTTCCCCATAATTCTTGTTAAGATCATATCGACTTTCATTAAAATGAGTTCACATATTTTTAGGTATCATAAAACATTATTAAAAATTAAACTAACAAAACAAGGGCCCTTGTTTTGTGCAGTAGAATTTATTTTAATTCTAATCACTTTCAGTAATGCTTATACATATACTATAATATCATTTATTTAAAAACAACATTAATATTTATCAAAGCATATAAACCTAGCATACACGGCTATAAAAACTAATAACGTTACTTGGTAACATAAACTTAATACCTACATGAATAGAATAGTAATATGTACATTAAGACATCAGTAATATTCATATATTAATTGAAATATTATATCACTTGACGAATATATTCATATTAACTACTGACAAATATCGGTATTAATACTAGCCCTCGGCCAGGGCAGTCGGCGACTGCCCGTTCCACGCCCCGCGCGCCTCTCAAGGCCCCCGCACACATCCAGACACCCACACATAGCCGCAAGCGATTTTACGTGCACACATGCTTAGTGTCGTTTCTTTTCGCGTAGTGTATATATTCTTTGCTTGCGTGCGCAATTTATCTTATTAATAATAATTAAAAAGGCTATTAAACGTCAGCAAGCAGTCAACATCAAAAGAGTGTAACTTCTGTATGTAGTACTATTAATTATTCTGTGGTGGTATTTGCACACACCGACATCTCGAAATTTTGTACACTTTTTTTATATGTGTGAGAGAATTGTATTATGACTTTGCGGGACACCGGCTGCCATCAGGGACCATCAGTGGTGCTAGGACCATTGCTCTACCGAGTAAAGGTATCAATTGGCTGGATTGAAGGGAACCAATGAAAAATTATTTGAATAATTAGCATTTATTTCTTAATGCCACAACCAAACATGCACCTTTTTGTAAAATTTGAAATACTCACCCTAATAACCTTATACTCCTTTCGCCAAGGTTGTGCGAGTAGGTTTCCCGCGTACCGTGCTATCGCCGCCCATCCGATGCCAGCGCGGTACGCACTAAAATCGGGCAGCTCGTTTATCGTTCGCTGGAACACTTTTGTAGTTTCTGCCAGACCAAATTTACACTCATGTGGTACAAGAGACAGATACTCAATTATGTAACCTGCAAAAAATAAAATTAACTTTTATCAGGAGCATGAATTGAGTAGATCAAGTGTAAACAAACAGGCATCTAATTAACTGGAGTGTGATTTTAAAACATAGTAAATTGGAATTTCATTAGATATATTTTTTGTCCATTACAATTAGCATATTACATTCATCTTTTATATGTTCTTTTACATTCTTCAGTTGTCGATTTGCATCAATTCCATCAGTTGTATATTTCATTTTGGGTCCACTGAAAACCAGTGCTGTTGTTTCGGTAACAGCATAAACTGCATGGGGTCTGTTTGCCTAACGCACCAAAACACACTTGGGGAATGTTTTATTGTAATACTAGCGGGTATTACAACAAAACATTCCCAAACAATACGGGTGATTTCTGAATCTCGACAACAGCGCCACCTACTCCATTTGTGAATCTATACCATCCAGGGACCCACAAAAAATTTCATTGGAATTCATGGAGCCAGTTTCGAGTTTTAGCTAGAGTAACGGACAAAAAATGATTTTTATATATAGATAAGATATAATCATACATACTTTTGTAAAATGTTATATTTCTGTCAAGTCCTTGTTTTTTAATTAATTTTTAATTTTGCTATACCTTTATTAATTAATGTGTTTACAAATATTTAAATTTACATGCCGAATTATGTATGTGGCGTTTTTGTAATAAAAGTTTCTTTCTTTTTTCAATGAAGGCTACTTATGTTAACGCAGATGGTCCCAGTATCATCAATCATCATTGTCGAAAACCTTTTTTTAATTCTTCTACTATTAATAATACATAACTATGTTCATAATTATTAATCATCATTGCTTACTGAATTGTAGATCTTGAATCCAGAAAAAATGTGTATAGAATTTTGAAACATTAAGTCAAAAGTAACACATACCTTCTAACTTCTTCTTTTGTAACAACTTCTCAGGGCTGTCATCGGTCTCCAAATAACTGTAGTGGGCATCTTCTATTCGTCTCCATAGCGCCGGAAGACGCTCGCGTAACACTGCGTCGCCCATACTCATTGCGCAAGTCATCACCATCACAGGTACACTGGGTTATAGTATAAATAATGAGAAAAAAAACTCTTATGAAGATTTATTACAATACATTTATGAAAGTTGTTTTTTAATAGATGAAGCCTTATAGCCCTTAAAATAAAAAAATAATTCTTTATGTCTGGGTGTTAATCTATGTACAGTTTTCTTTTGTAATTTTCTAAAAGCTTTCTAGGACACTTGCAACATTACTATAGTTCCTATTTTTTTTTAAATAACTAAAATGTAATGAGTATAAATGAAATACTGTGTATTGTTAGATATATCCAACTAAAGTTCTTGTATATGTCTGTCTGTAAAATGTAGAATATAAACGAAATACCAAGACTATTCTCTTCCAAATTATTATTTTGTATCCAATGTAAAGTTTCAATTTTTTTAAATATGCTAAAATTTAATCAACAACTGTAGTGACATCACACAGATTAAAAGATTTTGTAACATTAAATATTAAAAGCCCTTTTATTTACTAGATGGTTTGCACTGTGATTGCCAGTCATAGCGGGGTGAGCAGCATGCATGACAAACACTGTTCATATTAGTGTCTGCAATGCAGAGAATAGCTGATGTGAAGAATCATGTTTAGGAACATCCCTCATCACTACATTAGATTTGTTAGATGACAAATCCTCATTAAAGAACACAGATTCCTTCCAAGGTTGCATGAGGCTATTGAAATCTAAAAAAATCCTAATTTCAATAGAGAAGTTAGCTGGGTACTACCATCTGCTTAGGATCCCATAATCAATAAAATTAAATCTCAACCCATACATACAACTGCAAGACTTCAAGACATTATAAAATTTGATACTGCATAGATTGAACTAAAAATTAATAATTTTAATCTAAAGATTGCCATGGTTAACTATGACATTGGGGTGTCGAACACTTTAGTACCCCCATGAAGATGGGTGCTGCAAAGTGCTCAAAACGTCGGGAATATAAAATTAGTTAATATACGTGATAATATTCGTAAAACCTAGTTTTATTTAATGACTATTTTGTAACTCTAACATAGAACAAAAATGGAATAAAGTTAGAATACTTTTAAGAAACATTAGTAACCAATTGTAACTTTAATTTTAAATTCAAGTAAGTGCATAAACAAGACATGTGTTGCTCCTGAGAAAGTCAACAAACTGAAGTTTGTTTTTTGTTCAAACCACATTAGTCCACCACTATATATAAAAATCAATTGCTGACCGTTAGCCTGGCTAAAACTCAAAAATGGCTAGATTTTGATGTAATTTTTTGTGTTTGTTTGAGTGGGTTCTTGGAATGTTTGATTCACAAGGGTGGATTACTAGTCACCGATATATATACCTACATCAGAATTATAATGCTCAAAAGATATGTGTATATAATTAACTCAAAATTTTATTCAGTTGATAAATATGTTTGACAAGATAAAAAAATAGTGCTGTTTCAAACTTCGATTGAGGTTGCAACTACAAGAGGCTGCCCACAAGGAGGTGTTTTGTCACCCCTTCTTTGGACTCTTGCGGTTGACCAACTATTGTACAAAATGGCAGACCTACGCATTGACACATTGGGTTATGCTGATGACCTTGTGATCATTGCGAGGGGCTTTTGCCAAAGTACTTTATCGTTAACAATATACAAAGAGCCCTAAACACCATAAGTAACTGGTGTAGGGGTAACAGTTTATCAGTTAATGCTGATAAAACTGAAATACCCCAAAAGAGACTTCCAACCAAAACTTAATGGCAAAGAAGTACCATTTTCCACGGAAGTTAAGTATTTGGGCGTAACTATTGACTAAAAACTAACGTGGAACTCTCACCTTAGCAACATATGCCATAAGACAAAAATTGCTTTAGGTACATGCAGTAGTTTGGTCGGGAACAACTGGGGCTTGCGTCCCAGTATGGTCCTATGGCTGTACAGCAGCATAGTGAGGCCGATTCTCACCTACACCTCTATTGTCTGGTGTAACAAGGCCAACCAAAAGAAGACTACGGACAGACTAAATAGTCTACAAAGGACTGCCTGCTTAATGGCAACTGGAGCTATGCAATCATCGGCTGGAGCGGCTCTTAATGCACTTCTATGCCTAACGCCCCTTGATCTCTACCTAGACAAGGAGGCGAGGGCTAGTTTGTATAGGATTAACGCCCAGGACGGTCTGAGCTTGCTCTCCTACAGATTGAAATCCATGCTCGACTCAATTAAGGAATCACCGGTCTTATGCATGATCTCAGATATCATGCATCCACTACACACTTTTGATAAAAAGTATATAGTGGAATTACCCTCCAGAGAAGACTGGCTGAATGGCCAAGTTATCTGTGAGGTTGGTAGCCTCATATGGTATATATGCGTTACCGATGGGTCTAAAATGGGCCTCGATGTAGGCTTTGGAATTTACAGGGAACGCCCCAAATTCAAACTTAGTATGAATTTGGGTAGATACACCTCTATCTTCCAGGCAGAAATTTTCGCCATACTTCGGTGTGCGGAAATCAATCTGCAAAAACACTATGTCAACAATAAAATTTACATAAACTCTGATAGTCAAGCAGCACTGCTAGCACTGAGATCAAACTTAGTGAACTCGAAGCTAGTTGGAGACTGTGTGAACTGTTTAAATGCCCTGGGATGTAACAACAGGGTCGTTTTAAGATGGGTTCTGGGTCACAATGGTATTGTAGGCAACGAATTTGCCGACAAACTTGCACGGGAGGGCTCAAAGTGCACACAATTGGGACCTGAGCCATTTTGTGGAATCTCAAGAAGCCTAGCCCAATTGACCCTTGAAACTCTTTATCACAATAAATCACTTAAGATCTGGTCTGACACACCAGGCTTAAAACATTCTAAAACTTTAATATGTGCTTTTGATCATAAATTCACTTCAGAAGCCCTGGGATTAAGTAAAAATAAATTGCGCATTCTGGCAAGAGCCCTAACTGGATACTGTTGTCTTAAAAAGCTCATGTCCAGCCTGGGACTAAGCAACTCAAGGATGTGTCGGTTCTGTTCCATAATGGAAGAAACGCCTCTACACATCCTAACTGATTGCGGACCCTTAATGCGCAAACGTAACACTCATCTGGGAAACTATCTACTCCGCCCAGAAGAAGTGAAATTGCTCGTGGCTAAGCAACTCCTTCTATTCATTGAGGACATAGGGCTTAGTCATGAACTATAGCCATAGCAGCGATCACAATAGATCTTATAGGTCGCAGTGATACTGGTCTTTCCCTAGACCTGCATAGCTGCTCGCATATAATAAAAAAAAAGATAAAACATTATGTCAACTGTTGTTAGTAAAATTATAATGGTAAGTTATAAAAATTTAATGGGATTTAAAATTTTAATTCTATAGGATTATTAAGATATGACACACTTGTGCAATACAGTTCATATAAAAATATTTGTTATGTATTTCCTTCATTTCAATGCAGTATTAACTTTCGAACATCACAGATATCCCCGATTGACTTCTAATATATTTGACTGTCTTAAAAATTGGTAGTTGAAATGATTTAATCTACAATCTGAAGTAGGAATGTATAGCTTGAATAACTGACAAACAATGGGAAAGTCTCAAGTGGTCTGGTTTGAATCCAATTGAAATAGAAAATATCACATAATATTTCAAATTGAAATGTAACATCTCAAATTCTCCTTCTGATTTAAGTGATTTAAAAAAAATGTTACCGTAAATAGTTTCATAAATGAAGTAAGCAGTTATTGATACATTTCTTGAACCTGCGCGTGGTTAAATACTGTATCTAAATAGTAGATAAGATAGTCAATAGTAGGTATAGACCAGAATGAGTAAATGAACGACAAAACTTTATAAAAGATAATTAGATGGAGATAAATGCAACATTGTTGTCACGTTTTGACTTTAAGTAAGCTGATAAGTGTAAATAAAGAAGATCAAAATATTTTTAACGATAGTTCAAGAGCAATTTTATCATAAGTTATATAGCTATGCTCCATAATACGCAAATAATTCTAATAAAATAAAATTACATAGTCGACGCTGTTACTCATTTGAATTCTCGTTACGATTTAATTAAGGGATAATAACAATAAAACATATGATACTCACCGTACAGGAGCATATTTTCCTAGTTGTCAAAATATTTTTAATGCTCCAAATGTAGAACGAGCGGACAAAAATAGTACACCCAAAATAACGAAGGGTACCGAATGACCCACATTTAAATAGGAAGGAGTCCTGTATATATCACTTTGCACAAAATTGTATGTTAGTACTGATATAGACTTCGAACTTGAAATGAATATCAGTAAATAAAAATGGTAAAACAAAATCGAGAATTTTTGTTTTGACGTTTCCTCTCCTAATGTTTTTTATTAAGATTTTTGGCTTAGACGCTTGTTCTTTAAGCCATGTCATCAACAAAAGTAATTTATAACAATCCGTCGACGGTCATAGAGGCTAGAATACAATGTCGGGTGTGTTTAGAAGACTTTCAGACAACAACAAATGTTTTATCTGAACCAATTGATGTCTACAATGATTGGGTAGATGCATGTGAAAGTGCTAATTAATTTAAAAAGTTATTTTAATGTATAATAATAAAGAATATCCTTTTTAATCTTCCTTTACATTTTGTGGTATTATTTGTATTTGTGTGCTTGATTAATTTTGAGTTTTTAATGATAAGGTTAATTGTCGACTCATTGTTTAATAAATAAATCCACAATTTACTGATATTATAGATGAGAGATCTTGAAGACGAAGATTCTTAGGTGTTTTATCTGAAAGACTGGCATATTCAATTAAAGATTTCAATGGTTGATCTTAGAGTTACGTAAATATTATTTAACAATAATTGCCTTTATTTAAGAGTTACTTTGTATTTTACCAAACTTCATTTAAAATTTGATTGTTTTTTATATATATGCTATGCAATAAAAACTCCATAGATTTGGCATAGGAGTAAAAGAGAACTACCGGCCCTTACTGTACTTTCGTGTGTTAGAAAGAGAAAGCTAGTGAAGCTGTAAGCGAGACTAAAAACATATTAGCTACCGGTACATAACGTAACAGTAAACTGTGCGCGAATACATACAACTATAGTTCGTGCCAAATCGATTGAGAAAAATGGACATTGACCTTTCGGTCGTTTAACCAGGAGCTACAAACCTTCAACATATATGCACTTTTTATATATGTAGTACTTTCTTTATTTATAATGATTTTTCAATTATTTTTATAATGCGTGATATAATATATATTTATTAACTATTATTAAAAAGTTATGTATGTAAAAGATCGCTGTAGAAGAAAAATCATCTATTGTTATAAAGTACTTTATTCATTTAACAACAAAAAGCATTAATTTATAACACATATAAAGATTCGAGTGATAATGACACCGAATAAGTACGTACTTATTCAAAAGATAAATCTTTATTTTCAATATTATATAAGAACTTTATTTTTATTCGGTACATGCGGGCCGGCCCAAAGAAAGTGACACATCTCTGGCTGTATATCATAATAATATCAATATTTAAATATTGTTATCCATCTAAATTGAGATTTTGTAAGTTACTCCTTTTGACACTCGGCTCATATCTGACGTCATCGTCCGTATTCTCAATTGATTTGGCACGAACTATAGTTAATATATGTGTATAATACGGTAGTTTTTGTTCTGTACCAGTATGTAACTCTTTTAAAAAGTATAATCCCCAGGATTACTCATTCCACCAGTAAGTTTATAACCTGATATCTGTCGTTTTTTCTTAATAGTGGTTCACAAATTTGCCGGCTTTGGAGATAATTTAATGGAAAATTAATTTTATTTAGTATTGAGATGAACCAGCCCAAAAAAATCAGCTGTATTTGGAAAATAGCAAATAGAAAAATATGAGGACATTAATAACCTCACTTATTATGTGGTAATGATTTGTTTTGATGTCGATTTCATTCAAAGTGAAGGATACCAAGTGGGTTATATTTGTACAGCGAACAGTTAACTATAATGATAATAATAGTATACAATGTAAACTTAATAGAGCTATTATTTACTATTAAGTTCGCCTCACGCTCGTTTTCTAGTTACTTAGATAAACAAACTCATAATGCTATTGATTCAATAAGATTATCTTTTTAGGTAAATTTCTATTTAAAATTGGTGTTTATAAAGGTTCCGAAAAATTTGGGCTTAGATTAACACAGAAACCAATATTCAATAATGACAGGGACACATACTACATTGCACTGACCACTGACATAAGGTTACATGGTTATGGCAATACATATGTTGTATTATCCATTTATTGAAACTGAACAATATACCATTTGCAGATTCTCTATAAATCCGAAGATAAGAGAAAGGGGGTTGCGAATGTTAAATGGATAAAATTTGACTCCGCATAAATATTTCATCAATATTGCTTTTCTGGTCAAAAAAGAAGAAGTTAAAAAGATGATACAGTTACAGTAACACCGCTCTGCAGGTTTTCTTATATAATTTACCTGAAAATATGGTGCGCATTGTTAGGCTGAAAACACCCAGTACACTAGAGGAAGCACTAAGTATAGTTCTAGAAGAAGTAAACTTCTATGACCAATATCAGATGCGTAGTAAAATGTTACAGTCTAGCCATACGTCTAAGCCACAGTCTAGTAGTATACCAGTGCAACAACCATCGTTTAAATTCGCAATGCCAACACAGCCTACAGGTTTTAGACCAATGTTAGCACCAAACCAACTCCCTAGGCAGTATTTCGGAACACCACCTCAATTTAAGTTTGGCATCCCCCATAGTAGACAAATGAAGATTCCGTTACCACAAAATAAGCCTCAACAGCAAATGAGTTTCCCTAAGCAATATCACCCACCTCAGTTTGGATACCGACCTAATTTTGGATACCGACCAAACTTTGGATTTAGACCCCAGGGCTATATGGCCCCATGCAACCAATGTTACCACAACAGTTTGGTAATTCTCAGCGTTTTAATTATCCTAGTAATAATAATGTGCATAATAAGCCGGTTTCTAATGATACCGATGTTTCTATGAGAACTGCCCCTCCAAAACCAGGTTTCCGTCTGAATGAATTAGAAATCTATCCACCATACTATCCCTACGATTTTCCTGAAAATTACATGTATGAGGAAACATACGACAATTATTATGAAGATGAATCCATACAAGAAAATTCTATAATAGAGGTCGACGAAAACAATGATTCAGAGGATAATGACATGTCTGCACAGACTGAAAATTTTCAAGTAAAAGCCTCCGAAAACCACGCGAAATAATAGAATTAAATTGCGACATAAATCTAAAACTACAGTACATATATAAACCGGAAATAGACGCTAATTTTATGATAGACACAGGAAGCACCCGTTCTTTTATAAGCCCGGATAAAGCATACCAATACTACCGTAATTATATAACAAATGAACCCTTTGAAGTTATAAGCACTCATGCATCTAGCAAACACGATCAGGTAATTAAAATTCCACTATTTTCTATATTTCAAAGTAATGACGAACATAAATTTTATCTTTATAATGTCGATTCACGTTATGATGGGTTAATTGGGAATGATTTATTAAAGCAGTTGGAAGCTGTAATAGATTTAAAGAAACAAGTACTTACCACAAATTCTTCTAGAATACCTATAATACACAATAGCTTAGATTATGTTGTAATACTTCCACCACGTTCTGAAGTTAGAGCAAAATTACCTGCTAACATGTTTTATGGCGAAGGAATATTAAATTATACCCGATTCTGTGATGGAGTGCGCATGCCTTCTGCATTGGTAAAATGTGAGAATGGATATGCCACTACAATTATACAAAATACGTTGGATCAACAAATGGAATTATCTATTAAGAAACCTTTTGAAATTTGTGAATGTGTGGATGATAAATCGTATGTTAATTCTACAGATCACTCTGATCTAGAAACGGACCAGTTATTGCTTGAAAATTTAAACAAGTTACGCTTAAACCATATGAATGAAGAGGAAAGACAGAGCATTCGTAAACTATGTGAGGAATACAAGGATATATTTTATTGTGAACAGATACCTTTGAGTTTTAGTAATCAGGTTAAACACTTCATTCGGACTAAAAACGAGGACCCTATATTCACAAAACCTTACAGACAGGCCCCCGCACAAGTAACAGAGATAAACAAGCAGGTCGATAAACTTCTATTAGATAATGTAATTCAGGAATCTTTCTCCCCATGGAATTCTCCCGTACATCTTGTCCCGAAAAAGGCTGATGCTTCGGGCGAAGTTAAATACAGAATGGTCATAGATTACAGAAGGCTAAATGAAATTACAGTTGATGATAAGTACCCCCTTCCAAATATCGCAGACCTTTTCGATAAGCTAGGTAAGAGCACATACTTTTCGACACTCGACCTGGCAAGCGGCTACCACCAAATTGAACTCAATGAAGATGACCGACAGAAAACTGCCTTCAGCACCCAAAATGGACACTATGAGTTCCTGAGGATGCCATTTGGCCTAAAGACAGCCCCCGCCACCTTTCAAAGGGCTATGAATAACGTCTTAAGAGGTTTGCAAGGAATCCATTGCCTTATGTACCTAGACGACGTTATTATCTTTTCCGCTAGTCTACAAGAACACATGGAGAAACTCCGTACAGTTTTTGTCCGCTTTCGAAAGACTAACATGAAAATACAATTAGACAAATCCGAATTTTTCCGAAAAGAAGTTTTATATCTTGGACACACCATAACTAAAGACGGACTGCGACCAAACGATGACAAAATTAAAGTAATACAGAACTATCCTCTTCCTAAGACAACCACCGAAATCAAAAGTTTCCTTGGGCTGGTTGGATACTATAGAAAATTTATAAAGGACTTCGCGAAAATCACGCAGCCCTTAACGGCGTGTTTAAAGAAAAGAAATAAGATAATTTTAGACCAAAATTATATAGATGCCTTTCATAAATGTAAAGAAATATTGACCAGTGTCCCACTACTACAATACCCGGATCCGACTAAACCATACATATTAACTACCGACGCTTCAAATGTAGCTCTTGGTGCAGTACTGTCACAGGGACCAATAGGGTCGGATAAGCCTATTGCATATGCCAGCCGCACACTTAGTGACACCGAATCGCGATACAGCACAATAGAGCGGGAACTTTTAGCCATCATTTGGGCTGTAAAGCATTTTAGGCCCTACTTGTACGGACAGAAATTTGAAATTTATACAGACCATAGACCCCTTGCTTGGCTCTATTCTCTTAAAGAGCCTAACAGCAAACTAACACGCTGGCGTTTGCGTCTTCAAGAATACGATTTTACAATAATCTATAAAAACGGCAAACAAAATACCAATGCTGATGCCTTGTCTCGCATAAAACTTAATGCTTTAGACGACGCATCAATGGATGTTAATGTGGATGACGATGACATACAAAAAGTAATACGCCAACTGAAAGAACTAGAAAAATACAGACCTGAGCCCCAACCAGAGACAGTGATAATTTCAGACTCAGACTCGAGTGTGACGGAACATTAAGAATTGTTCGAAGAAAAAAACCCTGTACCATCGGTAACTAACAGTAGTAGAACAGACACGATACACTCAAATATTGAACCTGAGTCAAAAGCAATCCCAATTTTGAGCGAGGCAATAAATACCAAACCAAATCAGATCCTAGTATTTTCTTGGTTCTAAAATAAACTACAAGTCAGAAATTTATCTAGAGCAAAACAAAAAGTACTAGAGGTATTTCTCCCACTAGAAAACGAAGAATTAATGAAACAATTTTTAAAGGAATATATAAAATTTAAGAGTCGATACTTTATTTATTTCGAGAACGCTGAGCACAGGAAATTATTTACAAAAGTTATTATAGAACTCTTTAAGAAGGATGCAGTACAATTCTTTGAATGTACAGAACGCGTAGTATATGTGGAGGATGAAAAAGAACAAAAAGCTGTCATTCTCAAACACCATGAAGGAAAAACATGTCATCGCGGTGTGAAAGAAACTATGATAAGAATACGCAGAAACTATTATTGGGAAAATATGCAAGACACTGTAGCTGCCGTTATAAATGCTTGTGAACCTTGCAGATTAATGAAGTACGATAGGAAACCAATAAAACCTGTACTACAACTCACATCAACTCAGGATGCGCCTTTTCAGGAACTATTTATAGATTTATTTACCATTGAGAAGAAGTATTATTTAACCGTTGTGGATGCTTTTAGTAAATTAGGGCAGGCCTTAGAGATTGCAAGTCGACAAACCGCTGAAGTAGCACGAGCATTAATTAAATATTTTTCTATGTACGGAATTCCTAAGAAAATATCATCTGATCCAGGCACTGAATTTAATAACGAACTTATGCGTCAGCTCCTATCTATGTATAAAATAGAAACTCATATCACAACTCCCAATAACCCCAATTCGACAGGCATTATCGAAAGATTTCATTCTACCATAATTGAAATATACAGACTTGCAAATTATGAGCAAAAATGCACAGACGCTGCATCTGTCATGACATATTCAGTCATGGCATATAATCATACTATTCATTCAACGACAGGATTAACACCCTTTGAAGTAGCATTTGGTCATACCGATTCTGGTAAAATATTCGACGTAGATTTTGAAAAGGCATATACACAGCAACTCGTTAAAGACCACGCGAGACGAACCAAATACTTATATAGGTATATTTCCGAAAAAGTCCATACAGATAAAGAAAAGGTTAGGAAAAAGAAAAGCGGGGAAACTGGAATTGATTTTAAAGAAGGCGATACGGTTTTTATTAAAGATATTAACATAAGAAAAAGTAAGGATAAGCCTAGGTATCAAAAGGCGAAAGTGCAAGGGGATATTGAAAGAAACATAATACCTGTAACGATAGGGAAAAGAAAAACTAAAGTGCACCTCAAAAATGTGAAACGCCCTCCACAGGTTGTTGGCGATCTTCGTGAACCTGAATCTGATGATCCAGACCCAGGGCCTACAACTTCTAAAGGTTGAGCATAATCCAGGCATGTTATCCGTAAAGCAAGGACACGCATACAAGGAAGTAGATAAGTGGGTTATAGTTAAGCAATTAGACTTTAGTAGCATAAAAGATGATTTAAATTTTAATATCAATAAATATAAAGAATTTAGCAGTTTAATAGATATCCATAAGCCATACGTAAATGAGTTCCAAAATATGAACACACAAGTAAATTATTTAAGTAACTTAGCTGTAGAAAAGTTTAAACAACTCATACCTGCGATACGTTTCAAGCGCGGTCTTATTAATCCATTAGGTTCTGTTATCAAAGCGCTTACAGGAAACTTAGACCACAATGATGCAGTAGAATACGACAATCTCATATCTCAATTAAAGACCCAGCAAACGCACACTAATAAGAAAATAACAATAATCTCGGAGATGCTTGACTCTCTTATAAATAGTACTGGATCTCTACAGGAAAATATGAATATTATAAATGAACGAATGAAACGTATAGAAAGAATTGTAAAATATATAATTACTAAAGACGATAACAGCATATACTCCACATATGTTTTAAGTATGCTTACCAATAATTTTAGAACTATATACTTAATTTTAAGCGAAATAGAAACGGCATTAGCATTTACTAAACTTCACGTTCTACATCAAGCCATTGTTAATTCCACTGAATTATTAGTTATATTAGAATCTATATCTCAAACAAATAGTTTATTGTATCCTATTACTGAAAACAATTTAGTTAATTTAGAAAGATCTATGTCTGTTAAGGCCTATGTAAAAGAAAACCAAATAACGTTCATTATGGAAATCCCTCTGACTGATAATATTACATACACTTATTTTAAAATGTATGCTTTACCTATGTTTGATCCCACCTATAATAGAACAACTGTTATTTTTCCCAAATATCCTTACCTCATGGTGAAAGATCACACGTACTTACCCTTAAATGGCCCATGTCAGGAGATAGCAGCAAACCAGTTCCTGTGTGAGGAAAATAATATCGTGCAGTATCCTGAAAACACATGCATAGAACAACTTATGAACTTCGCATCAAATCTAAGCCTTTGTAAACTATCAATAGTAGAGCTGGAAAGTGTTAAGATACAGTCTATTGGTCCTATTAACTGGATCCTATTTACACAAAATGAAATAGTGCTTACAAAAACGTGTGGCGATGACACTCAAAGAAATGCTGTAAAGGGCACTTACCTCTTGGAAATCGATGAAAACTGTGAGATAAAATTAGGCAATATTAAATTACACCGGAAACGATACTATTCAGGAAAACTGCAATATAAGGTGACACCTATTTTAACTTTACCGAAATTGATAGAGCAGCCCACAAATGCGGAGAAAACAGTGAATTTAAATCGCGTTAATTTGGATGAACTAAAATATCTCTCGTACAAACTGAAAAGTGAAATAGTGGAAAGTGAAAGTGAAATCTTAGTGAATAAGAAAAGTGTTAGTTTAGCTACTGTACTACTCTATGTTATATTAGTTTTAATTAGTCTTATTATTGTAATTTGGAAAAATAAGTCTAAGCTCTTACACTGTATGCAAAGTCATCGGAATCCAAATCTTGCCGATAACTTTGCAGTTGAGGAGGGAGGAATTATGGTTACACCAGCACCACCCATAATACGTATAAAGCGTCCATCAGCATAAATACATAAACGCTGAGTATGTAGTAATTTAAGTAGA